GACTCCCACCAACGGACAGTACACTTGAAAAATGCGAAATAGAAACGAATTGATTAAACGACCAGGCAACAGAACAAAGGCCAAAAGCGAGACAATGAAGGGTGTGGCTTTCGGTGGAGAGAGGAAATAAAAGAAAGGACCCAAATGGACGGAGGGACATACGGACAGACTGACGGACGGACGGGCGGACGGGCGGTCAAACCGTTGGACAGGAGAAGTTGGGACCTGGCCATGCACTTTGCATTACCAATTAGAAGAACCCGACGAGCGGACGAGCACAGAAGGTAACAAAAATTGACAATTGACGCCGCAATCAGGCAGGCAAACACACATGGGCGGCGAGAAGAGGGGGTGTCTCTCATTGTTATGCAATTGCAATGGGGCAAGTCAATTAAAAACATTCCATTCCATTCCAGTCCAGTCCAGTCCAGTCCAGCAACAACCCTCCAGGTTCGTCTGGCTACCGATGACCGTTTGGATTACGGCCAAAGGCGGATATCAATGACCTAACCTCACTTCCCTTATTTCCCTATGTGACCATGTGTATCTCCCATTCTTCCCGATAAACCCCCTCTTACCCACACCATTCGTTTCTCATTCGAGCAAGACATAATCCAATTAGCAATTAGTTGTGTATGCCGGGGCGTCATCGGGTTACCTGAGCACCTCCCAGATGGTTCGGTTCCGATAGGATGGTAAAACAGGTAGGTGAAGAACTTAGGCCTTAAGGAATGGTTCCCAAATCGAATGGGCTGCCAATCGGTTATAACTCAATTTCGGCTGGTTATTAGGCCCGGCACGTCTCGGGACGTCGTTTCCTGTTTTTCAAAGTCGGAGTTTGGAGATCTCGATCTTTTCAATAGCGTCAGGTGTCTTTGGCAAAACACATTGTGTTAAATACTCAGGTTTTTATGAGTCATTAAAAAAATATATTAAATATTTCAGAAATAAATTTAAAGATCACTTGGCTTCCCTAAATTCATATACCTTTTTTAAAAGTTTAAATTAGATTCATGCCTAACTAGCAACCCAAAGTCAGAGTAATTATCTTTCGTATAAGTTTTTAGTGAGACCCCAGATTGGGCGCAATGCGGGTGGTGTTGAACCTGGGACACATGTGGCACAATAATTTTTTGTGTTTCATCTGAATTTTAATTTAAAATTCATTCATCATACTTGAAGATGGAAAAACCAAAGTGGGGGAAAAGCGAGGGCCTAACAACCATCCTTCATTTGTATTTTATGTGCATTCTTTGTTTTCAGATTGTCGTTTTTGTTTTATGCATATACCATATAGGAATGTATCTTGTCTTGCTCCGACTCATTGTTTAAGCTTCATTGGGATTATGCGGGCTTAACCCCTCTCGTTTTTTGTTTTCGGTCCAACTCTCTCTTACCCACACTCACTGCATTCCGTAACAAGTAAAAGCAACTTAATGTCTTGCCATATTTTTCACACTAATTCAATTCTTTTATTTTTTCTCTCTTGAATTGAAGTTTTCTTTTTTCCTCAGTTTTTTTGTTTATTAGGCTTTTTATTATGGAAATTTGTTTGTGTTATGCTTAAGTTAAAGGCAAAATGAGTTTAACTATTACTTTAAGACCGATATAAAGATTGAAACAGTAACAGAAATACATTTTTAAAAGCCACAACTTTTCTTGTAATTTTTCACTGCTCTGCATTTTTTCAGAGGGCTTTTCCAGCTCATTTGCAGTTAATTTAAATGGTTGGGGCTGGGGTTTTTCTGCAACAATGCCTGCTAATTATGGTGAAGTTTTTTGGGTTCAGGGCTGAATTGGAAAATCAAGCGCCCATAAAGATCTGCGCAGAGATTGGTTACTATATACATATATATATATAGAGAGATATAGCACAGCACAGCTCATTATCATTTCTGCAATCCACTTGAATCCTTTTGTTTTGTTGTCCCATCCGAAATGTTTTGTTTTATTAATTAAAGCGAAATGCAAGGCTTTCCGGGCATTACTGGATTAAAAATAAAACAAGGGAAAATCGTGAAGAAAGGAGGCTAGAGAGAGAGAGGGGGATATGAGTGAGAGAGAGGCAAACAAGAAGCGGCAACAATTCTTTTCTACGCACGGCCAGACTTTGCAACATAATTGGAATTTCCTTTTTCCTGCCCCTGCCCCATCCCATTACCCCTCTCTTTCTGCCGCATGCCCCATCTTTGTCTTGTCAAGTGGCACAAAAGACAAGAAAAGAAAGAACTCAAGAGTTGCCCGCTTGACCATAAGCTGTCCCATTCAGGCAACAACTTGAGCAGCAACCTGACGTTCCCCATCCCTATGTCCCTCTCTTTCTACGCCCATCTACCCCTCTCTTTCTACTCTACATAAAGGTAGTTGCAAGGGGGGGGGGGGGGCAAAGGGGGCTTGGATGCTGGGCGTGAGAGACTGACTAAGAAGTCAAAAAGATATGAGTCAGAGAATTCTGAGAATGTCCTCAGTTCGAGGAAGAGGTATAAAGTCGAGTTCATGGGCTTGGGTTATAAACTCGAGACCCTCTCTCAATTCTCAGCTTCCTCTTCGTATTCCACACTGATTTAAGACAGTAAGTCAACAGTGTATGCAAAACATGCAAGTTCTTAAAGTGTGCTTAAAGATTATTACTCATTAATATTACTAGTATGGTATGGTATGGTATGATATTAAGATTCTTAAGAATGCTAATTTGAACGAGTTTATGGAACACAATATACAAAGCTATATTTTATGACCTCGTTTACCTAAATTATTGATACTACTAATCTTTATTCCCCTAATAAAACTGTTGCTACATTTCTTTGGATCCTAACTGGTTTATCGTGAGAGATGTGTCCAAAGGTGTTTAAGATTTGTATGCAAATATTCCTAGCAAATCAAGAAACCAGCTTAACTTTGGCAAACCTTAAGGTATTTTGCACTTTATTTTCCAGCTTTCCTTTTTTTTCTTTTCTTCCTTGACGGACTAGTGAAATGAGTGCTGCTCTCAAGATTCTGCTGGTCCTCTCTATTCCCTTGGATTCTCCATTCATCTCGGGGCCCTCATCGTCCATTAATAGTATGACGAACTGTCTAACTGACAGTTTTCCCGGGCGCGATGACCGAAGTGAAAGCGGCACCCAATTAAGCCAGTTTCGGGCTTAGCTAATTAGGACTGTCCACCCTTTTTCCTACTTCAGCCGGCCGCCACTCGCTTTTCTCAAACCCATTTTCTACTGCTTTTCTTCAAAGTGTTTTTCTCACACAAAAAATATAGAGAACAAGCTCCCGTTTAGAGTGCGGCACACAAAAAAAAAAAGCGCGCCGTCAACATCATAAAAAGTTTTAAGTTTACTGCTCGAAAATTAGAGCACAACTGACCACAAAAGAACGGGGAGGGGGCTAGACGATTTTCTCACTTTCTACAAAAGACTTCTTCTTCCCGTGGCAAAATGCATAAATACCTATTTTCAACTATCCCAAAAACATGATCAACTCCCGGCTGAGTCATCCTGTAATGACTCTACTAATTTTTATCTCTCGGTTAAATTCACTTCCCTTCTAAATCTTGTTTGTTGGGAAAATTTAGAGAAAAGGTGGGGACTCGGAGGGGAAAAGAAATGGCGTTAATTAAATTCGACTTTCTGCGGTATTAGAACATTTTAAAAGGCATCACTTGGGGTCGTCTGCCAGCTTTTTTGTGGTCCAAGCCGGATGCGGTAATTGCTGGGAAGTCGACTTTGGATTCTTCTCGACTTTACAGTTGGCCCAAGAAGTTTGCAACCCTATAGACACTGTCTGAATTATGAAGCTTCCAAGTCGATAATGTCTGGCGATTTGTTGCAAGTCTGGTTTTATGGGTTATAAGCTAATTTTAGAATGCCGTTCTGTGTTCCTTATTTCTAGCCTATTATTTATCAATTTATTTATAATGATATAGTCAGTTTTTGCACTTTTGGACATCGGTTTTCTTTGTTCCGTTTTGTTAGGCCCGTGCATTCTATCAAAACTGGTTTTGTCTTTAGACTTAATTAGCTGATTATCTCTGAGGATTTCACTATTAGAGTTTGTATTCTTTTAGACATTTTCTAAAGATTATAAAGATAATCAACGTTCATAGAAACCAATATCATATTATAACCAAGAACCTAAAAACACCTTATAGAACCCCATAGCAACCCAGTATTACTTAACATGCGACTCTTGCGCAATAATTTCTAGTTGTCTAGGCGAATGTTTGCCCAAATTTTACGGTCCCAAAGTCAGGTGCCGGAATTTTAGTTGTATCTGCGTTTGTAACTTATGATGTTCACTGAAAATTTTATGATATTTGTCCAGCTACGGTATAATCTGTTTTGAGGTAAAATAAATATTTACTCTAGAATTTGGGTAGATTGCGATAAGGAAAAGATGATTTTAGTTTTCCTGGGATGTTGTCTTAAATTTTTTGGTTCTCTATTTGCAAAGTGTTTGTTTCAGGGTCGTCGTCTACGGCATCAGGTACCCAAGTGCAAGTGCTCAGGTAATGTGTCTGTTAAGATCTCGTGGGATCACAAAAAAAAACACACAAATTTGATATGACCCTGTCGACTGATAAGCCGATTTTAGCTAAGTCAGTCCCTAGATGGAAGACTCGGTCAGCCGTAATTCTGGATTTATATGCTTATTTTTGTAGGTTACAGTGGTCTATTAGCAAATGATTTGTCAATGTTTTAGGTCTAAATGGGATATTAAGGCATCATAAAAGTAATATGATACCTATATAAGGTTTGCTATCTATTTACTGAAAAACGTTGTATCATAAGAATTTATTTGAACAAATTTGGTAAGATCTTAAAACTGAGCTGATTGTTCCTATTCTTTCAGTTTTTTTAAGGGACGCTTTATTATTAACATCGAACAGCGATAAATCTTCAACTTTTTGTACCATTTGTGCCTTTGGTTCCCATTTCTAATTATAATACCAAAAAGAAAAGCATGTCTTGGGGACTTGGGGAGCGTTTCTATCCGTTACTCACCTATTAAAGAGCAGCTGCAGAGGAGCAGCGCCAAAAAGACGCCGACTGAATTCAGCGGCAGCGATTTTCGCAGTTCACCCATTTTTTATCGCTTTTTTTTACGCAGTAGTAGTAGTTAGTAGTTTTTCCCGCTCGCAAATTGATTGCTCTCTCTTTCTAACTTCTTTGGTTTGGTTTACGGTTGCACACGAAAAAAATGTTTAAAAAATTTCAGTTTGTTTTCGTTGCTTTGTGATTGCACAAGTAATTATTTTTTGGTTAACACTTTTTGTCTTCAGGTGTTTTTTGTAGCGGTTTTGGTGTGTGAATCTGGAAAAAGATACAAAATAATTATATTAGAAATATTAATTAGTGAGGTTCTTATTTTTAGTATAGAGAGAGATTTGTGTAGTATAACCAGAAACAAAGATCTGAACTTTTAGAATTTTTACAAGGCTTTTTAGTGGCTTGCTTTAAAGGTTAGATTTCTGTTTCATATCTGGGCTTTAGTTCCTTAATATTTCATACTGTGGTTGCATCTTAATAACTCTGAGTTTATTTGGCCGTTTTGTTGTTGTCAGTTTAGAGCAACCTCAAGTCTAAGTTTGAGCTTGAGAAGTTCATCTGCATTTGATATTTGTCATAACTTTAGCATTTCTGATTCAAATGGCAAATGTTGGCATTTATGGGTGAGCTGAAGAGGAAGACGCGTCGCACACGAATGGCTTTTGGTGGTGTTATATGTGTGTTGTGTTGTGTTGTGCTGTGTGTGCCTGGTGTCTCTTTTGCATTCTAAAGTTGGCGGCACCCAGGGAAAAAAAAGAACGAAGAAAATAAAACCTGCTGCGCCGCCGACTTCGCACATGTTGGCCAGTTTTTGTAACGGAAATTGCGGGGCTCTCAGCAGTCGAAACACGTAGTGCGGGAAATATTATAGGGGGAATACAAACAGGGGGCTTGTTATAAGGTAAGCGAAGAACGAAGGACCTGAATGCTTAAGTACAAGGCCCTCATTCTTAATAATATTTTTAATAAATTTGTGTTCTTCGTAGATCCTTATCTTCTGGGTTAAAGTAGGAATATATACACATGAATTCTTATCTCTACGAATTTATTTGTTTTCGCCTCTCCGATAAATCGTGACTCAAGCTACCTCTCTGTCTCTCACATTCTCTTTATCTCTATTTCTCTCTTTCTCTTTGTCGCTCACACTGAAGTTACACCTATGCTTAATGTCCTTGAGTAGCGTTGCAACAAGTTCTAAAGTACAGTTAACACTCGCTAAAGAAATATCACAAGAAACGCACACTTTCCAATAAAAATATTTTTATGGTTTATATTTTAGTAGAATAATGGAACAGCACCTCGAGTAACACAATTTGCGTGATTGTTCCGTCCTTATCACCAATGGAATGTGACCTTAAAATAATGCCTAATAATTCCAAAGAACGCTTTAATTCAAACTGTCTGGTAACGGCTGCCACGTCAGCAAGCAGTTGGAAAGCAAGCAGTTGATCTACGAAACAGTTATGTCTCCGGCAATATGGTGGTGCTGCTCTAACCCGCTAGGATCCCCACTAGACATATATGGCTGCACTACTTCAACAAACAAATCAAGTCAAAGTCATATTTTAAATAAGTGTCAAAACCGTTTTATGGAAAAATTAACATACAACCGAGGGAAAACTGTAGTTGCTTCCTTGCGAGCTCGTCTTGCCACTAATCCCGCCCATTTTCCTCGCGGATTTTCTCACCGCCCCCCTCATTTGGCTTACGGTTATTACAGTTACTGGGTAATCGATATCTGGGGCAGGCCTTGACTTTTTTCTAGAAAACCCCGTATGTGTGTCTGCGGCACGCGAAATATTCTGGCGAATTTGTTAAGCACACCAGAGCTTCTTGTCTTGCTTTTGGCAAATTGAGACATCCTAACAAAATACTAGGGAAGCAGTCTTAAAATATTCATAAAGTTTCAAAAACGCTAATTATAATGGGAAACTTGGCAAAAGGGGAAGTACCGTAAAGCCAGCAGAAGCAAAAAGCTAAAATGATGGAGGGGAAATTTTCGGGAATCTGTTCAAGTTGCATAAAAGTTAAGAAGTTTTCCACTTGATATTCGTGAATTATGAATGCTGATGTCAAATGATTTGATTTTGAGTTTCGACTGGGGGCGAAAATTTTTAATTTCTTTTTCGGGGCCTTCCCGTTTTTAGCTGATTGGTTGGGAAACACTTGGAAATTCTGGCTTTGATTTTATAAAATATTTATGAAAACGGTAAAAACCTACATTTATTACGTTAAATCTTAATTTCATTAAATCCTTTGAGTCAAAATCACCTTAAAAAGTTTCTGAATATTTTTGTATGCGGTATTTAAATATCACTTTGTCAAATTCGAGAAAACCCAATCAAGAAATTAATTAAGACAAAACAGAAGACTTGCATCTTTTTAAAACTTTAGTTATAAAACCGCCAGGAGGTAAGCTTAAAAACTTTTGGAATAAGCACGGGGACAAGAATTTTCCAACTTTGACTCTATTCTGGCTGGTTAACAGTTTAAACAAATATTTTTAATCACGTTAAAACTTTCGTCGGAAGCCGCAGCAAACGAAATTAACTTTTGTTTTTGGGGCAGACAAAGGGAAAATAATACCGGCAGAAATTGTTTTTGAAATTTGACGATCTTTTGCTGTGGCATTTTCCCCATGATTTCCTTTTTTTTTGTTAACATATCGGGTTTGGGTTTGTGACCAGGTTTTTCCAAGTTTTTCCTTATTTATGTTTATAGTTTATGGTTTTTTCTGTCTTATTTCCCAGCTGCAAGCGTGAGTCAATTGCCAGCGCTCACTGTTGGTAACAACAACAAAGGCTACTAAGTTGGCAGCCAAGCGGGCCCAAAAACCTGTTTTCCATTTTATTTTCTCGCTTTTCAGGTGATGTTGTTGTTCTTTTTTTTTTTGTATTTTATGATACGTTATATGCACTTTTCCAACTCGATTTTAGAGGGAGTTTTCAAAGGGTTTTCATGGAGTGTTTTCATAAAGTTTTTCATTGAAAATGAAATAACTTTGCACGTGACTCATTGGAATCTTAAACAAAAAACAACAGAGAGCAACAGAGAGAGAGTGAGTGATATTTTTGTATTTTTTTTTGTCACACGCTAAAAAAAAGTTTAGAAAAAAAAACTGTCCAAGAATGCCGCCAGTTTATTTTTGGTTTTTAGGGAGCTGTCTCTGTATATAGTTTATAGTTTTTTCGTTTTCCATGTATTTAGAACAAGTTTGGCGATAAGTACTTATTATTATTATTTGTTATTACCAATTTCTCATTGTTTAACTGGCACACTAACACACACCACGGCAGAACTCGACGCGTTGGCCGTCGAAAAGTATCTGAGCCAGCAAAGTACGAGATACTAACAACCGTTCACCACGCGCGCACAAAACAAACTGCAAGATACGGATACTCAGATACTCTGGCAAACTGGCAAAGTACTGGCGGCAAGCGTTGAAAACCTACTGTGACCATAATATACGAACGAGCACGAACGTGCTGCCGAGTGAGATATTTGTGCTCGGGTTCAGGGGAGGGGGGTGGCGAAGCGAAACGTATCTGAACCAGCCAAACACGAAATGTCGAGATGTTTTGTTGCTGGCAACATTGAGGCGGAACACAGGCTGAAGGCGTGTTGCCAAGCAACATGTTGCTGGAGTGCATGTGTATCAACATGCTGCCGGAATGGGGAAAGATATAAAAAACTTCAAAGTTGGTTGATTAAAGTTGCAGTCTTAAAGTTTTTTACCGCAGTGACTTTTTACGGATAATAATTTACTAACTTCAATTCATTATAACAGCTAAAAAACGGAAATTTTTGTCCTGAAAAATGGTATTCCGATTTTAGTCCAAAATGCGCTTTTTCTTTCCGCTTTTTCAATCGTAGTTTTGCCAAATCAAGGCGTACAGCTAAAAGACCGACTGTTTTGAGCAGCTTGCTAGATATGCTAACAATCCCTATTACTTTAGGGAAAATTTTTTTTTTTACCAATTTTCTCATTTTTTGTAAGGGGGTGTATCGTCTATTTTTGCGAAAAATGTCAAAAATTAAAAATTTGCAGGTTTAAATGCCAATTGATTGGAAATTAAACAACGAGCTCAACGAGGTATGACATTCCTCATTCTGACATATATTTTTGTTATAGCAGCCAAAAAACTGAATATTTATGGCCAAAAAAGGGTTCAAATTTTTGTCAAAAATAGCAAATTCAGATTTTTGTCAAAAATGCGAGATTTTGTTTCGGTTTTTCTACCGTAGCTCAGCCAAATCAAGGCGTACAGCTAAAAGACCGAGTGTTTTGAGCAGCTTGCTAGATATGCTAACAATCCCTATTACTTTAAGGAAAATTTTTTTTTTTACCAATTTTCTCATTTTTTGTAAGGGGGTGTATCGTCTATTTTTGCGAAAAATGTCAAAAATTAAACATTCTCAGGTTTGAATGCCAATTGATTTGAAATTAAACAACGAGCTCAACGAGGTATGACATTCCTCATTCTGACTTATATTTTTGTTAAGGCAGCCAAAAAACGGAATTTTTATGGCCAAAAAAGTGTTCAAATTTTTGTCAAAAATAGCAAATTCAGATTTTTGTCAAAAATGCGAGATTTTGTTTCGGTTTTTCTATCGTAGCCTAGTTAAATCAAGGCGTACAGCTAAAAGACCGACTGTTTTGAGCAGCTTGCTAGATATGCTAACAATCCCTATTACTTTAAGGAAAATTTTTTTTTTTACCAATTTTCTCATTTTTTGTAAGGGGGTGTATCGTCTATTTTTGCGAAAAATGTCAAAAATTAAACATTCTCAGGTTTGAATGCCAATTGATTTGAAATTAAACAACGAGCTCAACGAGGTATGACATTCCTCATTCTGACTTATATTTTTGTTAAGGCAGCCAAAAAACGGAATTTTTATGGCCAAAAAAGTGTTCAAATTTTTGTCAAAAATAGCAAATTCAGATTTTTGTCAAAAATGCGAGATTTTGTTTCGGTTTTTCTATCGTAGCCTAGTTAAATCAAGGCGTACAGCTAAAAGACCGACTGTTTTGAGCAGCTTGCTAGATATGCTAACAATCCCTATTACTTTAAGGAAAATTTTTTTTTTTACCAATTTTCTCATTTTTTGTAAGGGGGTGTATCGTCTATTTTTGCGAAAAATGTCAAAAATTAAACATTCTCAGGTTTGAATGCCAATTGATTTGAAATTAAACAACGAGCTCAACGAGGTATGACATTCCACATTCTGACTTATATTTTTGTTAAGGCAGCCAAAAAACGGAATTTTTATGGCCAAAAAAGTGTTCAAATTTTTGTCAAAAATAGCAAATTCAGATTTTTGTCAAAAATGCGAGATTTTGTTTCGGTTTTTCTATCGTAGCCTAGTTAAATCAAGGCGTACAGCTAAAAGACCGACTGTTTTGAGCAGCTTGCTAGATATGCTAACAATCCCTATTACTTTAAGGAAAATTTTTTTTTTACCAATTTTCTCATTTTTTGTAAGGGGGTTCATCGTCTTTTTTTGCAAAAAATGTCAAAAATTAAAAAATTTTAGATTTGAATGCCAATCGATTGGAAATTAAACAACGAGCTCATCGAGGTATGAAATTCCTCATTCTGACTTTTATTTTTATTATTGCAGCCAAAAAACTGAAAAAATAGGGTTCAGATTTTGGTAAAATATACGATATTCAGATTTTAGTCAAACTGCGACTTTTTGAGCAGCTTGCTAGTTACATTATTAGTTACGTTATGGCAGCCAAAACACTGATTCAGATTTTAGTCAAGAAACTATTATTTTGATGGGTTTTTTAAAACAAACAGCATTGAAAAACGCAACTTACACAGTGTGTTCAAAAGACCTGAAAAGTGGAGCCCCTTTGATAATTTAATTAAAACCAAAGTCATAATTAATTTATCAGCACAATGTGTAAATAAAATACATTTTCAGTGCAGAGGAAGAGAGACAGGGAGCGTCTACCGTTAGACGTCGAAGAACTCAACTCTTTTCCTCTCGTGTGTCAACAAGGTCAAATGGCGATGGGCGGAGAAACTGGGCGGCGGCACTTAAGCCGCATTTCGTCACTTTTACGAGTGACTGGTGTCGAGTTTTTGACACGTTTTTCTTGCTCAATCTTTGGAGGAGATTGTCAAAAGACTTTCAGAACGGAGCATTAAAAATGTAACTACTTTGGGGGCAATGGCGCTTAGCAAAGCTTAACATAAAAATATTACGCCACTTTTATTACAAAGAAGACAGCAAATGAAAGCTCAGATACGGTTTTTGTTTAACTAAACTATCATTTAATTTTTACAAAAAGAAATTCATTAATTTTTATTGTACAGAAGACAACGAACGAAAGTTCTTGAAAGAAATGTGGAACTATGATTACTATCCTTCAGTTTTTTTTCCCACTGTATCCTTCAAAGTTTGCATCATGTTGCTGAAGGAAAATGTCTTGGTTGTGGGGACTTCACGATCATGTTTTGGGGGGAAAAGCGAAAGGCTTTTCCGGCTCGGCAACATTTCGGCGACGGCCACTTGTTGTGCCACGCAACATCGAGATTCGATTCGAGCAAAAACTTCTTTTCTGTTTAATTGCCGCGCTGTCAATTAACCACCGCCCACTTCCGAAACCGTGGAAAATCTGAAACGAGGGGGGAGGGGGGGTGATTTTCCCAACTAAGTGGAAACAAAAAAAAAAGTAAAAAAAAATCCCAGTTACGTTTGAATGCGTTCTGTGCAATTTACTAAATGAAATTGCGTATCTGACAGATGCATAGATGCCAAAGCGATGTATTCTGCAGTTATCATTGTTGTTTTGTTTTCGTGTGTCGTGTGTGTGACGGAGCAATTTATCACCCTATACAGAGGGATATACATATATCTATATACCACCGACAAACCCCCCCGAACTGCCCTTTCCCGAATCGCCAATAAGTGATTTATAGGATTGTTATTTTGTCGTTGATGTCGCACTTTCGCTGCGCTTTATTTATTGCCCTGTGTCTTCCTCTTCCCCTTTCCGCCACCCACAAAAACCCGATTCGACCGATTCGCCCGATTTGAAGTGTGTTAATTTTATTTCCATTTTTCCGCCGAACAGCCGCACGAATTTTCCGAATTTTCCACAGATGGATATTGAATTGATAGGCGGACTGTGGGAAATGTGGTGACAATCGTTCTACATGCTTAATTTGCTAATGCGTTCGACCTTTGACCTATTGGCTGGTGATGTGAAAATGCCTGTTACAAAAATGTACAAGGAGTTGGTTGCAGCAAATAAGTCTTTGAACTGGATATTCTTAACTATAATAATCTCTAATAAAAAACGTATATTTATTACTAAAGTTTTAAGCATTTTAATATTTTTTAATTATTTTATTTGAATAAAGAATATAAATATATATGTAACATATTTACCAAACTTAATCTTATCGTATATAAGCCCGAATAAAGAACAACTTCCTTTTGAGACCTGCAATTATTTAGCAATTATGGGAACAAGTGAACAATGGCAATAACCTGAGTCGCTCAAACCCACTTGAAATGGTTTCGCCTGACCTGTGACCCCGGGATCCGATAATCTGCTACCTGATTTGATGGCCAGCCAGACAAATGAAGACGTCGATTTAGGAGCCCTGTGGGATGTGAGTTTTCAGATGGGTGGTCTTCGAATCAATCTCCAGCGATCTCGGCAATTCTGTTCCAATTTGTAGCCCGGATCGAGTTCGTTTTTTTTTTCGATTTCTTGTGGTGCACACCTGCATTTCGGTGGTGCATCGAGAAAATGTTCTCAAATGACGGTAACCGCAGCCCGAAAACCATTAGAAAATGGTTAATAACTCTATAAGCAATTAGATCCGCAGAGTTTCCTCTCACCCCCCGGCTGTTCAATTTCTGACAGGTTTTGTCCGCACCGAAGACCTGAACTCAATACCAATCTCGGTCTTGGCCAGAAACTTTAGCCGAGAGTCATTAGTTCACAGGAACGACAGCCATTCAGAGGGCCAAATGATGAATTATGGTTTTCCGAATCGAACGCACAAAGCACAGAATTCAGATACAGATACATTCACTGTTGCACTCACGTATATGAAGTAAACTTGGGGCCGGAGGTGCCAACGTTGGGTGCTCAATAATTAATTGATATTTAAGCATTTGCCTTATGAGTTCATTTGCCAGGATCTTGACGGCACAAATCAAAGATGCAGTTGCCCTATCTTGAAGAAAGGAAATGTAATGGATTTATAAGAATCAGTTTTTTTCAGGATATTGTTCGATTTTGCTTAGTGATTAATTATTTTAAAAAATCTTGTTTCAATATTTTTCTCTCATGTTTTTATATAAAGAAATCAATACAGTTCTAAAGAAATAATTGTGATGTTACTCTGAAATGTAGAAACATATATCATGTTGTATCCTAATGACACTGCTGTTGTTTTTCCAAGAGTCTATTATCTTTAAGCACTGGACTGCCGCAAATGGGTTAATGAGTATCCATTGCTTCAAAGTCCATGGAAACCCCTCAACTGTTTGAGTGGACCCATAGAACCCTTCTGTTATTATTATACCATTAAAAGGCCCTCTCCTCTCCCCACATAACCCTTGAGTCCGGGCACCAAAAACAAGTTGATGAGGCTTCTTTGGTCTTTCGAAAATAGTCCCATTAAACCATCAGGACAATAAAAGGACATGAAATATTTTCACAGTTGACCTTTAATGAGCTGAACTCCCCCTCTCAACGAAGTGGGAAAGACCCCCCTTATAAGCAAAATACCCAACTTCCGTCTGAAAAGGCAACCGCAAAAATCCGAAAAACTATGCTAGGTATTCGATTCCTGGCGATTTCGCACAGACGACGACCCTTATTTTTCAGCACCTCCCGTCCCGAGTTTTATTTCTATTTTGCTCGGACTATGGATTGTTTATTTGTTTGTTGACCTTTTAGCTCTTGGCGCGTGACTGTGACCATTTGACCATTTGTCCCCCTTTTGTTGCGCACGCGTGCCCCGATATCTCGGTACTCCCATCCCCGACCCTTAAATATTTTATATATTTTGGGGTGATATAACCCGCCCCTTTGTTTTAAAAACATTTCGTCCCCTTGCCATTTTCGGTTTTCAATTAAATTGCCAAAAATTATTGCTTGTGTGTGTGGAGAAAATGAAAATGTTAGAAGGGGTAGGGGTGGCAAAATGGAATATCTCGCTTCGACGGGGGGCTATTGGGCAGTTTGGACAGGATCGGGGTCACCATTGGGTAACGGTAATTGCGACCAGTTCATTTCCTGTTGCGTCTCTAACGATTTGATTTAATTGAACTCATTTTTCTTTGGTATTTTAAAGTGTTTGAAGGAAGAGGGGATGACAAAATATTCATTTAGCTGGTGGTCAGTGGAAAATGGGTGGGTGTTCACAAAACAAAAGTGAGTTATAAAATAAAACAAGAGGAGGGCAGTAAAAATAACCAATATAACAATGAAACCAAATGTCAAATGCAGAGAATAACACAAAATGTAAAAGTCAAATTGAAAGGAAAATGTTATTAAAATGTATCTATTAAAAATTTTGGAAAGTGTAATAAAAAATGTCACAAAATTATGTGTGAAATATGGTCAACCATTTTTTTTGTCAGTAATATTGTATACACTTTATGCTACATTTAGTATTGCTAAAAATCATTATCCTCTTAGAAATAATAATGTATTATATGAATATAATCTTACAAAAATATGTAAAAAATATTACTTAGCAAGTAAAATTTTTGTAATTTGGTTTTAGTGTACTGAACTCAATAAATATTTAAGATGGTGAATATCACTCTAAATTTTTTTCGATATTAAGGGCGTAAGCCGCTGCAATTTCCCCCTGAAATTGGTGAAAAGTGCTCCTGAAGTCACCTGGCGTCAGTAAATCTGAGCCAGATTGTCGTCCGACCCAATGCCTCGAAATTGTGCATTCAAAACAGGCCAAAACCAGAAGGTTCGAATTCGAAACCCGGGAATTTCGAGAACAATGGCCACGGGGGTGTGGCAAGGACAATTAGCGTCGGCCGCAGCTAATTATGATCCCTGCGCCGCGGGTGGTGGACATATATGAGCTCTATGTTCGATGGACTCTATGTACTTTATAGGTGAGTCTGCGATTCTGCGAGTATGGAACTCCCAAACTCATTTGCGGTTCAATGCACGGCGAGACCCAATTTCACTTTCCCTTCGCCGCGTTGACATTTTCCGCATAGATTGTGAAACCCTTAATTAACTTTCGAGGGCAAATAACGACCCCGGATATGTCCACTAATCCAGACAGACTTTCGTTTCGTTAGTCGCGTTTGCAATGTGAGCAGGACATCCGAGACGCCACCAAAGGACCAAACAAACACAACAAAGCAAAACAACGACCATTCTACCCATCCCATCCCCAAAACTCCTGGTTTTTTGTTTCTCGGTCGGCAGTGTCGCGTGCTCCTCATCATCCACATATCCTCTTTAGTTTAGTCTTCCCACAAAAAAAAATTATGTAATTCCCTAGGCTATAGGTATTTTTCCAAAATATATTTTTGGTATCCTAAAAACGATTATCTATGAGTATTTATGACTATTTAAAATAAATGATGCATGTTAAAAATACTTTAAGTTGAGTCTAACAAATATTTTCTTCTGATTTTTAACATTTATTATATTTATATTTATTATTATTTATATTTAAAGTTTATACATTTTAATTATTGTTTATGTTTCACATATGTAACATTTTTTTTAGTAATAAAAGTGTGGTATACTTTTAACATGTTCTTAACTTGATTTTTTTTTAAATAAACTTGAATATTATGGTTGTAATTTAAATTACAAATAATATACAATATACAATATTTTTTAGTAATTAAAGTGTGTATTAGATACGTTTCCAGAAATGCCCTCTTAAATATTCTCATATTTACCCAAGACCCTAGCTCAGTTCTAGTCCAAAACCACATTCTCCCGAAATTCCAGGCAATCAATCAAAAAGCGGATACCAGGGCAATTATCCAGATTGTGGTATTCCCAATTGCACGATTATTTTTCTCAGTACAGTGGATGGGAGAGGGAATAACATTCGAATTTTACACCTACTCACGTGAATTGGGAGGGCATCGCCGTGTCCTGACCACAGACATCCTGCCGTACACCCGCACCACCTGAGTCCTTCGGCTCCTTTGTCCTTTGCCGGGCACTCATTTTGCCATGTGGTCAAACACAAAGTATGTCTGCATGTGGTGCGGTCCAACAATGTTACTTTGAAGCTATACATCCACGTGTGTATGTACATATACATATATATATAGATTGTTATATGGCCATATAACCATGTACCCATAGGCGGTATGCGAACACGAAAAAAAAATGTAACAAAATAATTCCCATGCCAACATTTCCGGGAGCTGTGCAAATTTAGGGCTTCTCACCCGTGCAAGGAATGTGTGGATAATGCGTTGCCATTTAACGCATTACTGAGTCCTGCCCATCGCTGAAAAAATCGAAGGAGTCGCTGGGAATTTACAACTTCTGGATACTCAGGGTATAGCTAAAGTACGCCCTATTAAAAACTAAATTTTCAAATTTTTATAAGAATTTATAATGGCTTGTTAATATTTTTGTTCAGGTTTATCTTTGGGTAATATAAGTACTAACGTAATACATATAGTAAGTACAGAAACCAACCCATTTACCCATTGAGCTACAGGGTATAAACATCTCGTCTGCGGCTTTGCCTTTTTTTGAGCCATAATTATTAGCTTTCGGTTGGATAAGGCGTCGCTTCGTCTGGTTGTCTCGTAAGGATGCTTTGTTGTGGTCACTGGGATGGGATTTCATCCGAGCCACCCAGCTTTCACATATCATCCTTAAGCTGCGGGACAATGGCAACATCCATTCAGGCCAAATTCAAGGTTTATGTGGCATGAGATCAGGAAGCCTGAGGAATTTGGGTCCATCAAAGTTATGGCTTTATTTTAAAAAAGGTAACACAACAAGTATTTATATTCATATGTCTTATTTAATAGTTTTCCCTTAGGACCATTGTAAGGTTTTTTTGACTATTTTATGAAACCTTATCTTATAAACCCCCATACTAAAAACTGTTCCATCGTTCCCAGAAATATCAAAAATCGCCTGCCGACTGTTTTAATCTTAAATAGCTAATGGTCAATTAATCGGACAGTTTTGATTAGATCAGAGCAAATTGTTTACTTTATTGCTCATAAGTGGAAAGTACCAGCATAATTGTATTATCTCGACTAGTTACAGCCATCTGACCACTTTGACCAGGAATTACCAGGCCCGAAAGTGGGGAAACCCGAGATGCGTGCCGTGAAACGAGAACAAGAACCGTGTGAAAGTAATCGGATCGCTTTTGTGGCCATAGGAACCTGCGTTACCATCCAATTTCCAACCGCTAATCTAGGCGGGGAGTTTAGTGCGCTGTTCTATCGATGAAAGCGTGGCCTTTATTCCGAAATTCGGTTTAAGGTTTCGCGCTTGGAGATCCGGGTAGAACGTTCAGACAGACCCCCCCCCACTGAAAGGAAATGTCAATATTTGTCATTACCGCGTGGCATTTTCTAGCGAATTTCTTCAACGCATTGTCTACGGGTATTTTTTCTTTCTTTTCCCGTTTTTGGGTTTTTCGGGGTTTGGTTTCGTCGGCTTTTCCTTTGTGCCGGCAATGGCCATAAAACCAACAAAGGCGAAACAAAGGCCGCCGTGCGCCGTGTGATTATGTAAGACGCAGTTGCACATCGGCTCATATTTGCCAACACCACACATTGCAGGCGGATATCCAGAACCAGAACCAGAATGAGGGATCCGGGAAAGAAAAACCAGGCACGGCTTTGTTGGAATTGGCCTCTTCCGTTTCCGATAATCGGATATAGCGGCAGATATACTCAAATGGTGCGACCAGAAACCCAACAAAAGATCGCAGTCAAGCAGTTCAGTCAACTCCAGCTCAAGATACCTTTTTGAGGACCTCAAAGTCAACATAGGATTGTGAATACTATTGTTTTCTTTAAATAAAGACCTTTTAAAAATATAATAAAAATGTTTTTAAGATCAAGATGGCCTTGTTTTTTTGTTAAGACATTCAGCCTTCGAAACTCGTCTACTTTCACATTAACACTTATATTTTCAACCTGAACTACATCGCTTTCCACATTCAAATACATTAATATCCCAGTGAAGATCCCGAAAGAAAATGCAGAACGGACCAAATGATAAATACCCCGAAAAGTTCAATTTCAATGAGGAGGTCCTTCGCGTGAAGATCCAGTTCGGTCTGATGCTCTTCGCCGATATGGAGGAAGCCATTTTTAATGAGAGTGAGCCCGAGGATACCAACGATGAGGAAACAAGTCCCATGGAGGTCAGCAGTGAGGACAGCGATAGACATATCTAAATTCACTACCATGGACGTCACTCTCAAAATTTCGCCGGCTATCATTATCATCCAATAAAGTTCTGTGGCATATTGTGTCCTGTCGTCATCCGTCATGATCTGTTTTCGGGATCGCTTATTGTCCCTTAGCTCATCGCTCACTTGTGCTCTAAGCGGATTAGGTTTCACCCAGAAACGTGTTCGGGACAAAGGACTCCATGGGGGAAGCGGAAAAAAAAGAATAAAACAAAAAGAAGTGAGTACAAAAAGGGAAACACGGGCAATCCTCGAACAATGAACCATGTGGCAAGTGGATTGGCAGCTTGTAATCCTTCACCCCGCCCTACATATCCTTATATATCCCCAGGTTCGATCCAGAAATGCACTTGCTACATGGTTATTGCATCATCGCCTTATTGCCCTAATGCGATTAGCATTCATTTTTAATCGTGCCTCATTGGAATTGGGTTTTTCGTCTAAGTCTTTCGATAGACTGCCTGCATTTCCGCTCTTTAAGTCCTCTGCACTGGGAAAAATCATATATGCTAGGGGAGATCTATAATTTTAAAACGTAAGTATTGAACATTTTAAAATGAATATCCTGATTAAATAATTGATACATTTTATTCTCAAAATAAAATGTAACCATCTAATTTCTAATTTATTTTTTTTAATGCTTAGTGCTTTTATAAATATTAATTTTTTACCCTGTACATCAAGGGAAACCTGGCTGCTCATTACGCAATTTTTCGGGAGGGTGTTCCCCTGTGAAGTGGTCCATTGTCAGTGCCCTAGACCAGAAAAGCAAACTGTCTCGAGAGCGAGTGACTTGAGACTGACGAAATTGTGGCGAAAGTACAAGTACAGTCACCACCGTTTGGACAACCCCCCTCCTCAATGCCAACCCCTCGAGGAACAAAGGGAGTTGAATGCTTCACCATGGAGTGGGTCAACGTGGAGCGTGCTCAGGCTGTGAAATTGCAAACCAGAACAACACTTTCGTCGATAATCACGAGGGTCATTCGATGGGTCAAGTGTCGCCGCAGCGCGTGGCAACCCCTTCGAAAAAGGGGGAGAATGGAGAACCCATGGGGAAAATCTGAAGAACTTAACCAAGGCCAGATAGGGAAAATTTGTGATCGTTATAGATGCAAATCAACGACGAGGCAGGCGGGCACTCGATGTTATTTAAATTCATAAATGTATGTCATTTTACCTTAAGGGTTTTTTCAGCTGCTTTGATTGTTACTTTAAAATATTTTAAGAGACTGCAATACTTTAATAATTTAATTTATTATATTTAATTAATAAGATTTTGTTAAGCTACTAGCTACCTCTTTTCTTTTGGTTGCCATGACTTTTTAAAATAAGTCTTCTAAATTAGGGAAAAATCAAGCATGTGTCATAATACCCTAAGCACTTCTAATTTCTTAAATAATATAAACTATAATTTTAAATATTTAACCCTTATAAATATTTATCTCTTTACAAAATATTAGATCTTTCTTATATATGCTTTGTGAAATGTTTTTACCCAACTCAAAGTTTTTTGTATAAAGGCACAATAAACTTTGTTAGTTTTTGGGGAATACAATGTTAATTAAATGATGCTATTAAGGAAAGCTTTTCTTTAATAATTGAAATTACAAAGTGCCCCTACTCAAAACCTAAATTATAACGTGTGCAAATTGAATTCTGTTCTCACTTAATCTGTTACCTCGAATTCGAACTGCCGCCTGTGAGTATGCAATAAATAATTCGCAACTGCTGGGCGGGGAAAAGGGCAGCACAAAAGCAGGCAACAACAAACAGATTCCATTTAGATATTCACTCTCGTTTGGTTTCCATTTATAGTTTGTGGTTCCATCTGCAATATCGCCTCCATATGTTTCCGTTTGCATTCGTGGTGTTTGCTTTTAACTAACGCGACACAGTCGCATTCAAATCAGCTTAATTAAATTGTAATTGGATATGTTTTTTCGCCTAGAAACTGACACAAACAAACGAAATCCTATGGGCCAGGGGGAAATGGGAGTGAAAGTGGGAATGGTGGTTGATGGCTGACGGCTGATAAGCTCATCGCGGGGATTGTCTTTAAAGCTGCGGACAGGCGTCTCTATCCGTCCAGCCATCCATCTATATCGTACATATACCGCCCGCTATCCCAACCCTTAACCCAGCCACCAACAGTGATGCCAATGATTAAGAAGAGTAGCTAAAAATACCAGAAAATATATTAGTACCATCCTACAATTCATAAAATTGAATTCATAAACCTCATATTAAAGCATTTCTCATTATAAATGATATAATAGTTTATTTCAATATTTATAAAACTTAACCCTTTACCGAGCCACCAACAGTGATGCCAATGATTATGAAGAGTAGCTGGAAATAGCAGAAAATATATTTGTATCATCCTAAAACTCCTGAAAATATCATAAAAAATATTAACATACCTTAAAATAAACGTTTGAATTGATGTAACTCATATTGATAAGCATTTTTTATTTAAAAGAAACATGAAGAACGAATAGTTCCGAAAATAAAATATTAAGAAAACTAAAAAAGGGTTTATGAAAATATTAACTAGAATACTAGGATATTTTTAATGGAAATATATTTTAGCCAATTGAGATTAAAATATATTTAATATAGTATTTTATTATTTAAGAAATACTAGAAAATCATGAGAAATGTGTATAAAATAGCCGCATTGGCAGCACTTTTGTTAGAGGCTGTTGCTTCTTGTTTATGCAACGAAACTAATTTAAAGTGCTTCACGCGGCGGTCGCTTAATCCGCTGGCATGGTGTGCGTGAGTCCCCCGTCTCATTTCCTCCATCTCCCCTCTCTCTCTCGCTCTGTGTGTGATAACTTCGTTAAGTTGTTGACACGCATATATTTATAATATATATATGGGGGTAAATAATAATAACAATATAGTCAGTAATTAAATGACACTGGCACGTGGCGCGATGAAGCCAACAACAAAGTTCACAGGATAGCCGAAGGAACCACTCACACTCATGCAGACCACTCACCCACACAGTAACACAGTCACACCCACACACAGACAGAAAGGGGCCCAGGGCAATGGGAAAAACAATTAATTTATCAGCACTTTTTGGGGTCACCAACTAGAAGCCAATTAAATTCAGTCCATAACTACTCCTCATATCCGCTTAAAAAGGTTATATTTATAAAAAAAAGTTTGGTATTGTTTGGCCAAATAGATTTTAATTTGAATGCAGTATTTAATAACTTGGAAAGATACCTTATGACATACTTAAAATCAAATAAAATAATAGTTCATCCTAAAGTAGCGGCATCTTAAAGATACAAATTTATATTAAGGTAAATAAATAAAACAACTTATCTCTACACTGATAAAAACGTAAGTCCCAAGATTCAATATAAATATTTTCTGCTATATGATTATTATAATTTAATATTTATAGTTATTGTTAAGATTCTAAACTTTGATTTTTATATGAAACAATTTTTGTATTTAAGCAAAATGTCTATGGAAATAATAACAAATAATATTGGCTACGACATTTTAAATTCAATTGGAAGGTATTTATTTTATTCATTCCATTTCCATCAGTGTAAATAAAATGAAAACAACATTAGTATCTATAAACCAACTTTCACCTAATAAGCTTAATACTAATGCGAGCCTGCCACAAATGCCCTTTATTAAATGGTATTTTGTAATCGGCCTTTGAGTGCCTTCAATACAGATGGTCATGCCTTGCAGTTTTGATTACAAATGCACTAGTAGGTCATGTTTGATTTTCTCGTAATGATAAGCTTCCGATTGCCAAATCATTGTTGAATTGGTCCAAAGGTATGCATTTTGGCTCTTTGTGCACTTGTCCCCCTCTTTTTTGGACACAGATATTGTATTGGAGATTATTTCGGTCATTTGATTTGAAAATCGAGCAACGCAACAGTCAGGCAAATTTGCGGCTTCGTTTCATTTGGCAATTATGACCACTGGAAATGGATGCAAATATGTACGGGGATGCTGATGAATCAGATGCAGAATTAAATCATCGATGGGTGGAGAAAGGAGGGCCTTGTTGATTCTTCGGCGCATCGTTGACATTATTCACATTCAACTATTTGCAAAACAAATTCAAGTAAGTCCTGGCACGAATTAAATTTCATTTGTTTACGACTCAATGAAAAGCCACAAAGCTTCTGCCAATAGGCTTTCCCTGTCAGTTAAAGTTGGCCTTTTCCGCCAGACAGACAGATACATATATACATATATATATGTATGAATATATAGATACAAATGTATAGCTTGTATTTTTGGCACAATTAAGATTTGCGCACTTAACGCCCAACTTGTGTGGCATTAAGTGCTTTGCTCGAAAACTTTTAATTGAAATAATTTGTTAAGGCCTCTGGGGGCCAAAAGAGACTTCAACTTTTGAACAGAAATGCGAAACAATCTCTATATACATACATATATACACAGTACATGAATGTGAATATTTTTCCAATCTCTCCAGGCACTTTGACTTACAGCCAAAACAATAATGGTCCTTTCAATTACATATTTTATGGTGAACTCCAAATGCCAAAGGTAAAACAATGCCCAACGGGTTTTAGAATTCTGAATTCCTTACTAATTGATTTGGTATACTACGATTTTTGGACTTTAAAGAATTAAAGAAAACAAATATTTTTGTATATTATTTTTATTCCATCTAGACTATATAGCCCTTATCGTTGCTGAACTTATAGCAAAAACGCTTAAAGCAAATCCTTGTTCTACTGGTTGTGGGTTGGGATGTGGTGGTGCTTATAGTGGTAGTTGTGTTAGCCACCGTTGTGGAATTTAAACTGGAAGTTGAGGTAGTCGAGACACTCGATGTTGTACTATCCAAAACACTCGATGTGGTACTATTCAAAACACTCGATGTGGTGCTATCCGAAACACTTGATGTGGAGTTAGTGGAAGTTCCCGAAACCTCTGTTGTTACTTCAGTGGAGTTTCCAGGTGCCAGGGAAGTGGTCTCCAAACTAGTGCCATTCGAAGAGGGTGCCAATGTGGTGCTTGTAGTTATATTATTCGCTGCTTCCAGTTCCAAAAAATTGATCAGTGAATCCATAAACTTCTGTATAGAATTACGATCCTCGGCTGTAAAAGTTTGGGCCTCTGAAAGTCCCAAAAAATAACCATTTCCCATAAGGGAAACGATCAAAAGAAGTACAAAGTGATGATCCATTTCGTTAAAGTTCAATTGCTCTAAGCTCTTTATAAACTGCACACATTTTCTGTCAGTTTTTCGGCATTTATACTATTATGTATCTCTTTTGGCCACTGGGGTTACGTGCCAGCACCCCCAAAAAAATAAGATAGCTCTTTGACTTTTGACCATCTGGGTCACTTGACTAATCTAACATTTCAGCTGCGGTGTGAGACATTCTTTGAGGTATCCCAAGATATTTGCTAATATTAATCATCACCTCTTTTGTGGCTTTTGGCTCAATGAAAAGAGACTGCGATGAATAAGCACATAGTAAACACGGTTCAATCTCTAGAAAATGTAGTACATATCTTAGCTTATCAAATTAGTAGTATAATAAACTTAAAAGTTATTTGGCAGTTATGCTACTTCTTAAAAATGTTTATTTTCATTATTAAAAAGATAAGGTCAAACATGTGATGTTTAAATATATATTATATTTTAAGGAAAGCCTAAAACTATTTGTTGAATTTGGACTTGGAACTTAGAAGTGACTATATTCTGAAATAGGATTTGGTTGGATCTTAAAGAATCGCAGATTTTAAACTTATATAGCTAGAGTTCAAGCCCGAGTTCCCCAACTTCGAACTTACAGATACTAGGCCAAACTGATCTAAAACTGATTTGGCCTTATGTTAGAGCTTACCAATCCAAACGTACAACCCCATTTCTAGTTCTAGATCTAAGTGAGTAGTAATCTGGGGAACGCAATGCTTTTAATCCGATTTCCTCAAGTTAAATTCAACTGTCTACCCACTCATTAGCAACAAAAGATAAGAAGATCGGCTCGGAGCATGCTAAAAGAATTCTCCGAGCATATCGACAATACATATTGATGTGGGGAAGGCACGTTTTACAGCATGCCAGTGAGATAATCTCGTTGGGCTTAAATTGCGATAAGCGGGTTACAGTCGTATAAAAGCCGTTGGAAGAGCTTCGAAATCTATCAATCACCGACAAGTCAAGTTAGTGGCAAGAACCATCGAGATGTGGCGTTTACATTTGTTTCTACTCCTGTCCACCTGTTTTCTGGTGCCCCACGATGCCAAGCCCACAAAGCGATCCACGGTAGAATTTTCCTCGACCACATTGGCCTCACTGCTCCTGGAAACGGATAATACCAGCACTGGCACTACGGATCAGCCCACATCGACCGAGAGTTCCTCTGTGAGGACTCCACGAGTCACCAATATCGGACGTCTGGCTTCCAAGGATCTGGCTGATTTGCTTTTGGCTAGCATGCAGGCACGTGGCGCCAAGTTGACCTCCTTCCAGGAGTCCACGATGAAATCGCTGCGCACTGAGGAGACCAAGGATACGAAAGGCAACAATGTGTTCCTGCAGGTGGGCATGGATGTGATAATCGACATTTTGATCGGAGCTCGGGATAATGCCACCTGTGGAAGGATCATCGAGGATATTGATCAGTCGCAGGATAGGAATAGCCTGACCTTGACCCTCAAGTCCTTCTTGGCCCTTTGCTTCTTCAATGGCATCGAGTGCGCAAAGGATGAGGTGGCCCAGGTGATTAAGAGCACCCACTCGCGTCAGCGCCAACAGGCCAAGGTCGTTCTGGATGACGACCATCATCAGCAGGCTGAGGGTTCGGGTCTTCGCACCGCCCGTCGTGTGGGTGTGGCCAAGGACGATCGCAACTCGGTGCTGAAGTTCCTGCAGGCCCGAAATATCAACGAACTGAGCGCTATCCTTAATACTCTTCTGCAAGTGTGCGGAGCTTCGGGCGGCGAGGCCCACAAGATCATCAGGAATTTGCGAGAGAGTAAGTATACAGATCAATGTAAAGAGTAAGAAGAAACGAGTCATAAGAATCGAGTACTGAGAAACGAGTAAAAAGAAACGAGTAATAAGAAACGGGTAATGTCGAGTGACATGAAACGAAAGTGTAACAAAAAGTGAATATTATGTAATAAGCCCAGTCACATTCATGACTGGCAATTGGTTAAATACATTTATTATTTTATTTATAATATTATAATATAATTATTAACCCTTTTCTTATCCTTTCAGTGGGTCCCGACAGCGTCAGTTTGCTGCAGGTGAATTCTTTTAGCATGCTATCCGTATCGCTGCTCGACAGTTTGTCCGCCATTGCTGAGGGTAAGACGAGCGGCTTGTGCTCCGCCGGCCCCGAAAGTTGGATCGTCCGCCTGCTGGCAATGGGCGTTGACAAAGTGGTACTGATGGGTCTGATGACCGCCCTCGATCGCACCATTGCGAGCTCGACCTCCACATCCGCCGAAATCTCCAATGCCGCAGCCCTGAACACCCTGAATGGAGGTGACCCCACAGATACCAAATCTCAAGTTCTTCAAAAGTCCGCGGCCACCGCAAAGCGAGCTATTTGTAAGTAAAATGAGAGTCCTTTTGAATCATAACCCCTAACAGCGAGTCTTTCTCCTCGTTTTTTTGCAGTGGATTCGGGCGCTGGTAACGATTTCAATTGTAAGTTTTTCTCATTTCCTTTTAAAAGGACTTATTTAATTTGATTACTTTTTACAGTGGCGCCATCAGTCGAGGAAATCGGTTCTTTGAACTCAGTTAATGATCTAATCAATGCCAATGTTCCCGTCGGAGCTAATCTTCCAATTTTAAGTAGTGTTGATGGTGGTGCTAACAACGTTCTTAATCGTGAGTGTTTTATTTTAAAAAGTGATTAAGTGTTTTGAGTGTTGATGATACTAAAACGTTTTTTGCAGAGGGATCCGATGTTATTGTCCAAGGACAAGGAAACACTTTCAACCGTTTAGTGGGTGCACGAATTCCCGTTTTAGCGAGTGCTCCGATATTGTCTAATGTTAACGGTGGAAGTTCATCGTCCAGCTCTTCGGGAACTCCATCAAGTTCTTCTTCTTCCTCGAGTCCATCTACCAGTTCAGGATCTTCCGGCTCGACAAGTTCCGGATCTTTGAGAAGTTTATCGGGCGGGGGTAACAATTTCAACTGTGAGTATTCCTCATTTTCCCCATGAACCGATTTATTTAATTTATAATTTATATTTGTAGTGGCTCCCACTGTTGATGAATCTGGCACTGGAAACACTGTTAATGACCTTATCAACGCCAATGTGCCCGTCGGAGCTTTTGCCCCTATTCTAAGTAATGTTGATGGAAATGGTTTAACCGGAAACGTTCTAAATCGTAAGTTCTGGCACATCCAAGCCATTTTCTTTTTCATTTAAATCTTCTTTTTGCAGAGGGATCTGATATATTGATCAAAGGACAAGGAAACACTTTCAACCGTTTAGTGGGTGCACGAATTCCCGTTTTAGCGAGTGCTCCGATATTGTCTAATGTTAACAGTGGAAGTTCGTCGTCTAGCTCTTCGGGAACTCCATCCAGTTCTTCGTCTTCCTCGAGTCCATCTAGCAGTTCGGGATCTTCTGGTTCACCCAGTTCGGGATCTTCCGGTTCTACAAGTTCGGGATCTTTGAGAAGTTTATCGGGTAACAATTTCAATTGTGAGTATTTCTCATTTTTCCCATGACCCGACTTATGTAATTTATTATTTATATTTGTAGTGGCTCCTACTGTTGATGAATCTGGCACTGGAAACACTGTTAATGATCTTATCAACGCCAATGTGCCCGTCGGAGCTTTTGCCCCTATTCTAAGTAATGTTAATGGAACTGGTTTAGCCGGAAACGTTCTTAATCGTGAGTTTTGGCATAATCTTAACATTTTTCAATTTTAATATTTACTTTTTAATATTTACTTTTTTTTGCAGAGGGATCTGATGTTGTTATTAGAGGACAAGGAAACACTTTCAATCGCTTAGTGGGTGCACGAATTCCAGTTTTAGCAAGTGCTCCGATACTGTCCAATATTAACGGTGGAAGTTCATCGTCTAGTTCTTCGGGAACCCCGTCTAGTTCTTCTTCTTCCTCAAGTCCATCAACCAGTTCGGGATCTTCCGGCTCTACAAGTCCGGGATCTTCTGGTTCTTCTGGTAGCTCAACTAGCTCTTCTTCTGGCACTCCTAGTTCTTCCAGCTCATCAGTACTTGGAAACAATGTGAATGGTAAGCTTATTATTATTATCAGTATAAAATATTATTATATGCTAATTATTATTTCTTGATTTCAGTTAGGGGCGATACCATTACTGGCAATCAGAATTTCCTTTTCAAGCTTCTTGATCTTGGACTCCCAATTTCTCTCGCCGCTCCGGTGCTCAGTATCATCAATCAGGGTTCGGGTTCTACAACTCCTTTGAGTGGATCTTCGAGTGGCTCTTCAAGTGGTTCATCGGGTAGTTCTCCAAGTGGTTCTTCAAGTGGTACTTCTGGTAGTTCCTCCAACGGTTCTACAGGATCCTCAGTGGGAAATAATGCAAACAGTAAGCATTCTAGTAATTTAGCCATAGAATGTAACAAATAAAATTGGATTCCTTTATTTTATAGTCGATCCCAGTGTTGATGTTGTTGGTAATGATAACCAAATTACCAAAGCTGTTGATGCCAATGTTGATGTACTAGCTAATGTCCCTGTTCTGAGCAAAATTACTGGAACCGGTTTTGCAAATAATCTCAACCGTAAGTAAACATATTCTGAAGATTCTGTGAGATTGAAGATTATTGTTTCTTTACCTTTTCCTGTAGAAAAACCCAACATACTGATTAGAGGTGATCGGAATAAGGTTACCAAGCTTGTAGATGCCAATGTTCCCGTTTTGGCGGCTGTTTCAGCGCTGAGCGATATCACCGGTGGACCGTCCAGTGGTGGAACCTCAAGTGGTGGATCCTCTGGTACTGGCTCCTCCTCTTCGGGAGCATTGGGTGCATTAGGTGGTCTCACAGGAAGCTCAGGATCGGGATCGTCTTCGGGTGGCCTTCTTGGCGGATCGGGATCGTCTTCGAGTGGCCTTCTTGGCGGTGTTCTTGGAACCGTCGGTGGTGTCGTTGGCGGTGTAGTAGAACCCGTTCTTGGTGGTGTCGTTGGCGGTGTAGTTGGACCCGTTCTTGGTAATGTCGTCGGCGGTGTAGTGCAACCCGTTCTTGGCGGTGTCGTCGGAGGTGTAGTGGAACCCGTTCTTGGCGGTGTCGTCGGAGGTGTTCTTCCGGCAGTGGAACCCGTTCTTGGAGGTGTTCTGGGCACCGTTGGTGGCCTCCTGGGCGGTGCTACTGGCAGTTCCTCCAGCTCATCCGGCTCCTCCAGCCCCCTTGGCGGTCTCACCAACATTTTGGCCACTTCCTCTGGCTCCTCCTCCTCTTCAAACGGTTCCTCCTCCGTGATTGGAAACAGTGCCAATAGCGGCGCCGATACAGTGATCGTTGGCAATAATAACAATTTCGTCCGATTGGTGGATGTCAATGGATTGGTTCTAGCCGACATCCCCATTTTGAGCAGTATTACCAATCTTTTGGGCGCGACAGGACTAATCGGCAACTCAGCGAATAGTAAGTTGAAATGATTTTGTACATTTTCAAGATCACTTTAAACTAAACCATATTTTGTACTTTTGCAGAGGGTCCCAAGACTGTGGTTATCGGTAACAACAATCGTATAGTGAAGCTGATTAATGTCGATCTTTGGGTGTTGGCCTTCCTCGATGTTCTGAATATAGTCCGTGGAAGTGGAGGCGTTTGCAACCAGCTGAACAGTAAGTGAAGATCATCTTGGGTTTGCATGATCTCTTACTAATATTTGTTCAATTTTTTTATAGCTGGACCTAGTACGGAGATTATTGGCAATGACAACGATGTGGTTCAGTTAGTGGATGTGGATTTGAGTGTGTTGCTAGTGGTGGATTTGTTGAGCCACTTGATCACCACTGTGGCCAATGACTGCGGGACCACCACCACCACCACCACAACTACCACTACAGAAACACCCACGGTTCAACCTCCTACAGCTCAGCCAACCACTGCTCAGCCACCCACACCTCAACCACCCACTCAGGCTCCCACAGATCAACCGCCCACCTATGGGCCACCCACCAACGAACCACCCACCAATCAGCCCCCCACCAACCAGCCTCCTACCAATCCACCACCCACAAATCAACCTCCCACCAATGAACCACCCACCAACAGACCCACAAATCAGCCTCCCACCAATGCACCACCCACCAACAGACCCACAAATGAGCCACCCACCAATAGGCCACCCACCGATCAGCCACCCACCAACCGCCCACCGTCGCCCAGTCCCAACAACTGCTATCGCAGATATTGCCGCAAGTGGCGCACTCGTCCCAGCTATTTGTGCTACAAGAACTGCGGTGGTGCCTACGTCTACAAGCCCTAAGTCGGTGACCTTGCACCAACACCACCCCCACCAACACAGCCACCGGAAGCAAGAGAACCACCGGAAGGAAGGCAACCACCGGAACCACCGGCTGTACAGCTACTCAATTTTGTTATGCGTGGCACTGCCAGCCTCACTGCCCCTGGGCATTTATTTATTTTTTATACTTTCTAAGAAAAAGTTGTTTAATTTATTTGAAATATATAGAAATTGAATCCATATCTAAAAAGTCTTTATGAAATATGGGAGTATCGGTATGAAACATGTGGGAAAAAATTAATATACAAGTTAAAATATATTTCTTTCATAGGTATGATACGATTATGTATCAATAACCTAATTACATTCCCATACTATCAAAGTTTCACAAAAATAATATCTATGAGGTTTATAAATGTGCCAAAAAGTATGTAGTTACTATAAAATCTTTGTCTTTCGGTATAAATCCATTGGTCTTACGGCTTTCCAATATATTACTGCATACTTTTAGACTCCTTTGCAAATGATTTGAAACCTCCTAGCGATATCTTATATATAAGTTAATAAAATCATTAATATATTGGCGCATTTTTCAGACTAAGGAGCCCAAGTACCAATTATTCGTAAACACCCCCTCTCCAAATAAAATAAATCATCATTTTATTCACACACCAAATGCAATTACTTTCAACCCCAACCGCGCAGCAGAAAAGTTTAAACGAAAAACAAAAAGTTACGCTTTATAAATAAAAGATAACATTATTAACAAACGCCACCCACAGACGAGAGCCGCATCAAAATACCTGAAGACCTGAACTTAGACAAATGGTCGTCAACCGTTGGAAATTGGGGGATTTTCCGGGGGGAAAAGCCATCCGGAACGTGCCTCACGCCGCATGAAATCATAATGAAAGCAATAAAAGCATCAGCAACAACCAGAAACAGAATGTAGAACGCAGAACCCAGAACCCAGAAACAGAAACAGAAACAAAACCATTCAAGAACGTTGTCGGCGCTTGAGGTGCGAGTGTCTCACCTCATAATTGATGACCTAAGTAATTTGTTATGGCTATGAAACGTGTGGCAAACACAAAAAACACTGCCGCAGCACGACAACTGCGGAAGAGCGAAATATTGAAGCAATTATAAAATTTTCACAAAAACCAAAAAAACGCCTACGGGGTTGAGACAAGCTGCGGGAAAAGTTTTTTTTTGGGTGGGATTTTGATGCTAATGATAACCATCAGGGTGTTAAATATTATGCAACACCTCGGGGACGCAATTGGGTTGCCAAAACGACAGCAGTCCAATGATTGTCGGCACCTGAGGAAGACTAGGGAAGAAAATGGCCATTCGGGGAAATAATCCACTGCACGAAGGTAGTTAACAAACTTTAAATACCTCAAAAGATTGCTAAGCCATAGATCTGGAGAAAATCATGAAGAGGTTGCCAGAAAACTTTCATCTTAATTTAAGTCAGTAATGATTCCTAAAATTCCTAAAAGGTTTTGGTCAATTATTTATTTACTTAAAATGTTAATAAATTGGTTTTTGTTTTAATTAAGGGAAACATAAATAAAACCACTTTGCTGAGACGAAATCTGAAGAATGCCAATCCTCTTTGAGCTTGTACCTAATTTGTGTCATTTTTCGCAATAGAAACCTTTACAAAAAATGCAAAAACTGGTAAAAAAAATAAATTTTCCTTAAAGTGATTGGGATCGTTAGCATATTTAGCAAGCTGTTCAAAACAGTCGGTCTTTCAGCTGTACGCCTTGATTTGGCCAAACTGCGATTGAAAAACTGGAAAGAAAAATCGGTTTCTTTGGCGAAAATCTGAACATCGTATTTTTGACGAAATCTGAATCCCATTTTTTTGCCATAAAAAATCAGTTTTTTGGCTGCTATAAAAAATATAAGCGTCAGATCGAGGAATGTCATACCTCGTTGAGCTCGTTGCTTAATTTCCAATCCATTGGCATTCAAACCTGAAAATTTTTAATTTTTGACTTCTTTCGAAAAAATAGACGATACACCCCCTTACCAAAAATGCGAAAACTGGTCAAAAAATAAATTTTCCTTAAAATGATTGGAATCGTTAGCATATTTAGCAAGCTGTTCAAAACAGTCGGTCTTTTAGCTGTACGCCTTAATTTGGCCAAACTGCGATTGAAAAACTGGAAAGAAAAATCGGTTTTTTTGGCCAAAATCTGAACATCGTATTTTTGACGAAATCTGAATCCCATTTTTTTGCCAAAAAAAATCAGTTTTTTGGCTGCTATAAAAAATATAAGCGTCAGATCGAGGAATGTCATACCTCGTTGAGCTCGTTGCTTAATTTCCAATCCATTGGCATTCAAACCTGAAAATTTTTAATTTTTGACTTCTTTCGAAAAAATAGACGATACACCCCCTTACCAAAAATGAGAAAACTGGTCAAAAAATAAATTTTCCTTAAAGTGATTGGGATCGTTAGCATATTTAGCAAGCTGTTCAAAACAGTCGGTCTTTCAGCTGTACGCCTTGATTTGGCCAAACTGCGATTGAAAAACTGGAAAGAAAAATCGGTTTCTTTGGCGAAAATCTGAACATCGTATTTTTGACGAAATCTGAATCCCATTTTTTTGCCATAAAAAATCAGTTTTTTGGCTGCTATAAAAAATATAAGCGTCAGATCGAGGAATGTCATACCTCGTTGAGCTCGTTGCTTAATTTCCAATCCATTGGCATTCAAACCTGAAAATTTTTAATTTTTGACTTCTTTCGAAAAAATAGACGATACACCCCCTTACCAAAAATGCGAAAACTGGTCAAAAAATAAATTTTCCTTAAAGTGATTGGGATCGTTAGCATATTTAGCAAGCTGTTCAAAACAGTCGGTCTTTTAGCTGTACGCCTTAATTTGGCCAAACTGCGATTGAAAAACTGGAAAGAAAAATCGGTTTTTTTGGCCAAAATCTGAACATCGTATTTTTGACGAAATCTGAATCCCATTTTTTTGCCAAAAAAAATCAGTTTTTTGGCTGCTATAAAAAATATAAGCGTCAGATCGAGGAATGTCATACCTCGTTGAGCTCGTTGCTTAATTTCCAATCCATTGGCATTCAAACCTGAAAATTTTTAATTTTTGACTTCTTTCGAAAAAATAGACGATACACCCCCTTACCAAAAATGAGAAAACTGGTCAAAAAATAAATTTTCCTTAAAGTGATTGGAATCGTTAGCATATTTAGCAAGCTGTTCAAAACACTCGGTCTTTTAGCTGTACGCCTTGATTTGGCCGAACTGCGATTGAAAAACTGGAAAGAAAAATCGGTTTTTTGGTGAAAATCTGAATATTGTATTTTTGACTAAGTCTGAATCCCATTTTTTCGCCATAAAAAATCAGTTTTTTGGCTGCTATAAAAAATATAAGCGTCAGATCGAGGAATGTCATACCTCGTTGAGCTCGTTGCTTAATTTCCAATCCATTGGCATTCAAACCTGAACATTTTTAATTTTCGACTTCTTTCGAAAAAATAGACGATACACCCCCTTACCAAAAATGCGAAAACTGGTCAAAAAATAAATTTTCCTTAAAATGATTGGAATCGTTATCATATTTAGCAAGCTGTTCAAAACACTCGGTCTTTTAGCTGTACGCCTTGATTTGGCCAAACTGCGATTGAAAAACTGGAAAGAAAAATCGGATTTTTGGCGAAAATCTGAATATTGTATTTTTGACTAAGTCTGAATCCCATTTTTTCGCCATAAAAAATCAGTTTTTTGGCTGCTATAAAAAATGTAAGCGTCAGATCGAGGAATGTCATACCTCGTTGAGCTCGTTGCTTAATTTCCAATCCATTGGCATTCAAACCTGAAAATTTTTAATTTTTGACTTCTTTCGAAAAAATAGACGATACACCCCCTTACCAAAAATGCGAAAACTGGTCAAAAAATAAATTTTCCTTAAAATGATTGGAATCGTTATCATATTTAGCAAGCTGTTCAAAACACTCGGTCTTTTAGCTGTACGCCTTGATTTGGCCAAACTGCGATTGAAAAACTGGAAAGAAAAATCGGATTTTTGGCGAAAATCTGAATATTGTATTTTTGACTAAGTCTGAATCCCATTTTTTCGCCATAAAAAATCAGTTTTTTGGCTGCTATAAAAAATATAAGCGTCAGATCGAGAAATGTCATACCTCGTTGAGCTCGTTGCTTAATTTCCAATCCATTGGCATTAAAACCTGGAAATTTTTAATTTTTGACTTCTTTCGAAAAAATAGACGATACACCCCCTTACCAAAAATGCGAAAACTGGTCAAAAAATAAATTTTCCTTAAAGTGATTGGAATCGTTAGCATATTTAGCAAGCTGTTCAAAACAGTCGGTCTTTTAGCTGACGCCTTAATTTGGCCAAACTGCGATTGAAAAACTGGAAAGAAAAATCGGTTTTTTGGCGAAAATCTGAATATAGTATTTTTGACTAAGTCTGAATCCCATTTTTTCGCCATACAAAATCAGTTTTTTGGCTGCTATAAAAAATATAAGCGTCAGATCAAGAAATGTCATACCTCGTTGAGCTCGTTGCTTAATTTCCAATCCATTGGCATTAAAACCTGAAAATTTTTAATTTTTGACTTCTTTCGAAAAAATAGACGATACACCCCCTTACCAAAAATGCGAAAACTGGTCAAAAAATAAATTTTCCTTAAAATGATTGGAATCGTTATCATATTTAGCAAGCTGTTCAAAACAGTCGGTCTTTTAGTTGTACGCCTTGATTTGGCCGAACTGCGATTGAAAAACTGGAAAGAAAAATCGGTTTTTTGGTGAAAATCTGAATATAGTATTTTTGACTAAATCTGAATCCCATTTTTTCGCCATACAAAATCAGTTTTTTGGCTGCTATAAAAAATATAAGCGTCAGATCGAGGAATGTCATACCTCGTTGAGCTCGTTGCTTAATTTCCAATCCATTGGCATTCAAAACTGAAAATGTTTAATTTTTGACTTCTTTCGAAAAAATAGACGTTACACCCCCTTACCAAAAATGCGAAAACTGGTCAAAAAATAAATTTTCCTTAAAGTGATTGGAATCGTTAGCATATTTAGCAAGCTGTTCAAAACACTCGGTCTTTTAGTTGTACGCCTTGATTTGGCCGAACTGCGATTGAAAAACTGGAAAGAAAAATCGGTTTTTTGGCGAAAATCTGAATATAGTATTTTTGACTAATCCCATTTTTTCGCCATAAAAAATCAGTTTTTTTTTTAAATTTTCCTTAAAGTGATTGGAATCGTTAGCATATTTAGCAAGCTGTTCAAAACACTCGGTCTTTTAGCTGTACGCCTTGATTTGGCCGAACTGCGATTGAAATACTGGAAAGAAAAATCGGTTTTTTGGTGAAAATCTGAATATAGTATTTTTGACTAAATCTGAATCCCATTTTTTCGCCATACAAAATCAGTTTTTTGGCTGCTATAAAAAATATAAGCGTCAGATCGAGGAATGTCATACCTCGTTGAGCTCGTTGCTTAATTTCCAATCCATTGGCATTCAAACCTGAAAATTTTTAATTTTTGACTTCTTTCGAAAAAATAGACGATACACCCCCTTACCAAAAATGCGAAAACTGGTCAAAAAATAAATTTTCCTTAAAGTGATTGGAATCGTTAGCATATTTAGCAAGCTGTTCAAAACAGTCGGTCTTTTAGCTGTACGCCTTGATTTGGCCGAACTGCGATTGAAAAACTGGAAAGAAAAATCGGTTTTTTGGCGAAAATCTGAATGTAGTATTTTTGACTAAATCTGAATTCAATTTTTTCGCCATAAAAAATCAGTTTTTTGGCTGCTATAAAAAATATAAGCGTCAGATCGAGGAATGTCATACCTCGTTGAGCTCGTTGCTTAATTTCCAATCCATTGGCATTCAAACCTGAAAATTTTTAATTTTTGACTTCTTTCGAAAAAATAGACGATACACCCCCTTACCAAGAATGCGAAAACTGGTCAAGAAATAAATTTTCCTTAAAGTGACTGGGATCGTTAGCATATTTAGCAAGCTGTTCAAAACAGTCGGTCTTTTAGCTGTACGCCTTAATTTGGCCAAACTGCGATTGAAAAACTGGAAAGAAAAATCGGTTTTTTGGCGAAAATCTGAATATAGTATTTTTGACTAAGTCTGAATCCCATTTTTTCGCCATACAAAATCAGTTTTTTGGCTGCTATAAAAAATATAAGCGTCAGATCGAGGAATGTCATACCTCGTTGAGCTCGTTGCTTAATTTCCAATCCATTGGCATTCAAACCTGAAAATTTTTAATTTTTGACTTCTTTCGAAAAAATAGACGATACACCCCCTTACCAAAAATGCGAAAACTGGTCAAAAAATAAATTTTCCTTAAAATGATTGGAATCGTTATCATATTTAGCAAGCTGTTCAAAACACTCGGTCTTTTAGCTGTACGCCTTAATTTGGCCCAACTGCGATTGAAAAACTGGAAAGAAAAATCGGTTTTTTGGTGAAAATCTGAATATAGTATTTTTGACTAAATCTGAATCCCATTTTTTCGCCATAAAAAATCAGTTTTTTGGCTGCTATAAAAAATATAAGCGTCAGATCGCGGAATGTCATACCTCGTTGAGCTCGTTGCTTAATTTCCAATCCGTTGGCATTCAAACCTGAAAATTTTTAATTCTTGACTTCTTTCGAAAAAATAGACGATACACCCCCTTACCAAAAATGCAAAAACTGGTCAAAAAATAAATTTTCCTTAAAATGATTGGGATCGTTAGCATATTTAGCAAGCTGTTCAAAACAGTCGGTCTTTTAGCTGTACGCCTTAATTTGGCCAAACTGCGATTGAAAAACTGGAAAGAAAAATCGGTTTTTTGGCGAAAATCTTAATATAGTATTTTTGACTAAGTCTGAATCCCATTTTTTCGCCATACAAAATCAGTTTTTTGGCTGCTATAAAAAATATAAGCGTCAGATCGAGGAATGTCATACCTCGTTGAGCTCGTTGCTTAATTTCCAATCCATTGGCATTCAAACCTGAAAATTTTTAATTTTTGACTTCTTTCGAAAAAATAGACGATACACCCCCTTACCAAAAATGAGAAAACTGGTCAAAAACTAAATTTTCCTTAAAGTGATTGGAATCGTTAGCATATTTAGCAAGCTGTTCAAAACACTCGGTCTTTTAGCTGTACGCCTTGATTTGGCCGAACTGCGATTGAAATACTGGAAAGAAAAATCGGTTTTTTGGCGAAAATCTGAATATAGTATTTTTGACTAATCCCATTTTTTCGCCATAAAAAATCAGTTTTTTGGCTGCTATAAAAAATATAAGCGTCAGATCGAGGAATGTCATACCTCGTTGAGCTCGTTGCTTAATTTCCAATCCATTGGCATTCAAACCTGAAAATTTTTAATTTTTGACTTCTTTCGAAAAAATAGACGATACACCCCCTTACCAAAAATGCGAAAACTGGTCAAAAAATAAATTTTCCTTAAAGTGATTGGGATCGTTAGCATATTTAGCAAGCTGTTCAAAACAGTCGGTCTTTTAGCTGTACGCCTTAATTTGGCCAAACTGCGATTGAAAAACTGGAAAGAAAAATCGGTTTTTTTGGCCAAAATCTGAACATCGTATTTTTGACGAAATCTGAATCCCATTTTTTTGCCAAAAAAAATCAGTTTTTTGGCTGCTATAAAAAATATAAGCGTCAGATCGAGGAATGTCATACCTCGTTGAGCTCGTTGCTTAATTTCCAATCCATTGGCATTCAAACCTGAAAATTTTTAATTTTTGACTTCTTTCGAAAAAATAGACGATACACCCCCTTACCAAAAATGAGAAAACTGGTCAAAAAATAAATTTTCCTTAAAGTGATTGGAATCGTTAGCATATTTAGCAAGCTGTTCAAAACACTCGGTCTTTTAGCTGTACGCCTTGATTTGGCCAAACTGCGATTGAAAAACTGGAAAGAAAAATCGGATTTTTGGCGAAAATCTGAATATAGTATTTTTGACTAAATCTGAATCCCATTTTTTCGCCATAAAGTCAGTTTTTTGGATGCTATAAAAAAAATAAGCGTCAGATCGAGGAATGTCATACCTTGTTGAGCTCGTTGTTTAATTTCCAATCCATTGGCATTCAAACCTGAAAATTTTTAATTTTTGACTTCTTTCGAAAAAATAGACGATATACCCCCTTACCAAAAATGCGAAAACTGGTCAAGAAATAAATTTTCCTTCAAGTGATTGGAATCGTTAGCATATTTAGCAGCTGTTCTAAACACTCGGTCTTTTAGCTGTACGCCTTGATTTGGCCGAACTGCGATTGAAAAACTGGAAAGAAAAATCGGTTTTTTTGGCGAAAATCTGAGCATCGTATTTTTGACGAAATCTGATTCCCTTTTGTTTGCCATAAAAAATCAGTTTTTTGGCTGCTATAAAAAATATAAGCGTCAGATCGAGGAATGTCATACCTCGTTGAGCTCGTTGCTTAATTTCCAATCCGTTGGCATTCAAACCTGAAAATTTTTAATTTTTGACTTCTTTCGAAAAAATAGACGATACACCCCCTTACCAAAAATGCGAAAACTGGTCAAAAAATAAATTTTCCTTAAAATGATTGGAATCGTTAGCATATTTAGCAAGCTGTTCAAAACAGTCGGTCTTTGAGCTGTACGCCTTAATTTGGCCAAACTGCGATTGAAAAACTGGAAAGAAAAATCGGTTTTTTGGCGAAAATCTGAATATAGTATTTTTGACTAAATCTGAATTCAATTTTTTCGCCATAAAAAATCAGTTTTTTAGCTGCTATAAAAAATATAAGCGTCAGATCGAGGAATGTCATACCTCGTTGAGCTCGTTGCTTAATTTCCAATCCATTGGCATTCAAACCTGAACATTTTTAATTTTTGACTTCTTTCGAAAAAATAGACGATACACCCTTACCAAAAATGAGAAAACTGGTCAAAAAATAAATTTTCCTTAAAATGATTGGGATCGTTAGCATATTTAGCAAGCTGTTCAAAACAGTCGGTCTTTTAGCTGTACGCCTTGATTTGGCTAAGCTGCGAGTAAAAAACCGGATAAGAATCAGTATTTTTGAAAAAAATCTGAATACTTTATTTTCTGCCCAAGAATGCCGTTTTTTTAAGGAATTAAAGTGCTTTACATGGCTTAAGCTGCAAGGGTTTCGGACTTCGGGCTTAGGATTTATATGTAAACCGTTTTTGCAGCCGGTTGATCAGATAAAAGATAACAGATAACTAAACTTAGGCTTACAAAACATCATGTCTTAAATATTTTGGGCTTCAAATTTAGACATATTAAGATGGCTTAAATTTAAGTGTTTCTTATCCAGTTCTCACAATCCTGAAAAAATTGTAGATATAATTCATTGAGTGAAGCTTTACATTTAGATAATTTTACCAAAGTGGCTTCTCAAATTGTTCGCGCTGGCTTCCACGCAGACGGCACCAAAAACGAGTTGCCTTTTTCAATAGATCATTTGCCGCCAAATCTTTGTTTTTCCTCTGAAACTTGCGCAGGAAATGAATATAGGCTACGGCCCAACCGATTTTGGTGGAGAGTCTCTGGACTGGGTTTCTTGATTGATTTTTCTTGATCACTGGCAAAAGGAGAGCGAACTGGATTTTCCCCATAGGACTGATTCTCAAACTCCTGAAGTGTACTTGTTGCACCCTTTTGCACGCGTTTGTTTAAAAATTTTAGATATCAATTATGATTAAGATATTTCCTATGCTTACCATATTTTTAAAGAAATCCTTTTCCTCGAGGGTCAACTGATTCCACTGACTTGCTCCGAAACGTACCATGTCATTTGGGGAAACTCCGCAGAACGTCTTTTTGTACTCCATTAAGAAGTTAAGGTACCCATTGTTCGTCAAGCGAGCTACTTTTTGAAAATTGTAAATCGGCCTTTGAAGTGCCTTTCGACGATTGGTTCCGTCCATAGTTAATTTTTCTTTAAAACTACAATTTTGTTATAATACGACACTGTCTACACTGAATATGAATGTGAATACTGATTTTGATTTAGAAGCCGTTCTCCCAGCTACCTAGGATATTTTTTTGGACTTGTTTCCAATTTTAAATGCAATATTAGAGTGTACAGTGGAATAGTTGATGATCTTAATTGCAGTCAGAAGTAGTGAAGGAGGTATTCCCGACACTACAAAATATATACAAAACAAAAATACCTCTAAACGCGCGACTTATATAATCCCAGCTTTTTATCGAATGTCTTGACTTCACTTTTTTTATTTTTATTAAAAAGGAGTTCTTATTTCATTATTTATTAATTGCAAGTTTTCCAAAATTAGTAAAGTTGAAAAATAATGTGCAAAAAATATTGAATCGAAGAAGGCCAACAAATCCAGCCAAACCGAGCATTCCATGCCTTTACTTGTCATTGTTTCGGAACGGGCATTCAACATATTTTCTAGATAGAGAGAAAAAGTCTATTGCTAGCAGCAAGACTTTTATTAAATTTTTTAGATTTTTTCCAAGTTTTGCACAGCCCATTGTAGCGTTGCGTGATAATATTTGGGTATTCGGTAAGTGATATCACACGCGTAATAAAAGTGATCAAGTTAATTCTGCAAGCCCCTAGGCGTGTGTTTTAAAATTCCGGATGCTTCTAATATGATTTTATACGTACGTTGTTTCTTATATAGTTTCGATTTGAATGATGGGAGACGACGCGGACCAGAACCACAACGAAGTACCCACTCCGGAAGGTGTCATATGGCACGATGTGGTGGACAGAATTGAATTTGAATGCCGGACATTCAGCACTGGTAATATGGATGCACAGGAACGTCGTAGTCAAGTGGAGTGTGCCCTCAATCGAGTGATGCCGTGGAATGATGTACACTTTTCCCGAATCAATCTACCCCATTCGCATCCCTTTGAGTGCAGCAATCCCACCGATTACAGGCGCATGGTGACCGAAAATATGGGCGCCACAACGCTAGTTTGCATCGGAACAGCCACTTTCTGGTGTATTCCTTCACTTCTGCAATTCCATTGCAATTATTTCGAACGCCACATTCGCCGGGTGAGTATAGTTATGTATATTGAAATGGAATCCAATCGCGTTTTATAACATATTATTACTATCCGATCCAATATCCCATCAACTTCACTCTTTATCGTAAAAATAAATTCCTTTCCAAGTGGGTTAAAGTATCAAAAGTGAATAATTTCGAATTTGTATCGACTAAATACTATCATTCTTGATATTACAAATGTATGAATCGATTAAATTGGCTCATTTTGTAATTATCGATTAACTTATCGAACGCTTTTTTCCATCCCTAGGCGTATCGCTTTCGCGAGGGCGCTGACCTTACTGCCGTGGGTTTTCGAGCTGCCTACGATTGGATGAGATTGCAAGAGTCCCTGGGAAACGATATAGGACCGGGGCAAGTGGTTGCCATGCTGCACACGGCCATGCAACTAGAGATGCGAGCACTGCAGACGGACTGTTATCGATTCCTGTGCGGAGCCCACTTTCGAGAGGAGATCGCCTTCGAGGTTTACTTAAAGGCCCTGAAGTATCCCGAACTCGAAGCGCTCCGCAAGGTGATGCTTCAGAGGATCGGGGCTCATTTTCTGGCCGTGGTTGGGGGAATTCATTTTCGGCAGATGCCCTTTGAGGACGTGATGACCTTGATGTACCAGGATTCTTTGGGTGTCAATTCCGAGGTGGAGGTCTTAGTGGCCCTAATCTGTTGGCTATCCCATCGTCCGCAGGAAATACCAAAGCTTATGCCACAGCTGATTGGGTGTGTAAGGCTCACCCTAATGCCACTACCCGTTCTACACAAACTGTGGGACACATCTTCGGTGTCCAGCAGACCCTCGGATCCCGACTGTACTTTTTGGGAAGCTTTTCATAACGATGTCAAAATGCGGAAGAGGATCAGTGTTGCGATCACTGTGGCATCGCTGCGACTTCTGCATCCCACTCGTCGAGCATTTCTCGAATCCCTGGAGGATATTGGAGTGGAGGCCCCAAGGGAGTGGATATACGACGAAGCGTGTTCCTATCACTTGCCGTACCCCAAGGGTCCCTATTGCCATGTTGTGAATGGTCGAGGAATTCTTTCCTATGTCTGGCAGAGAGCTCAGGTAGAGAGGGAGTTCCAGACGGCATTTGCAAGGCGTTCAAGGTCCCTCTTGCCAGCTACCAATGATCTGCAGACCATCGAAGAGGTACCAGAGGAAGATAGAGGGGAGGAGAATCGCGAAGAAGCCGCGGGACCTGAACCTAAAAGCGAAGATCTTACCGCAGCAACCCAGCAGGTAATGGACGAGGGCGATACCCGCCTGGCTGGACAGCTTAGGGAACTTAACAGACTTCGGATGCAAGCACAATTACTAGCGGACGCTCGTCTTTCACGGCGATTGAGATCGAGGACTCGTAATCTTGATACCTCTTCAGAATCCGGGAATGATTTGGAAATAATCGCTACCGTTGGATCCGATTATGTGATACACCCCTTACGAGTGGAATTTCGCCCCCGGCATAATGGGAATAGCTTTCCTGCCATGTCTCCGGCTATGGAAGATAGTCCCCTTTACAGACGTTGGGAGGAAGCACGAAGGCGTGAGGCTCAAGTCGGATTCAGGGAGTCTGAGGATGAGGATGAGGATGAGGATGACGATAAGGAACTGAACGAAAATTACTTGATGGAGTTGGAATATATGTGCACTGAAATGGATCTATTTCTGCCCCATGAAGAGGATCCTCAGCCTCCCGAACCGGAAGTAACACCAGCCGAGGACCAGATTCGTCCCCTCGAGACCTATGTGCAGGAAACAGATCGCCTGATCAGAGGGTTGTTAAAGCATCTTGACGAGAATGTGATGCCTCAGGCCCCTTAGAGCTCAGTTTATTGATGTATAGCCCCTTTAAATTGCTGTTCACCAAAACAGCTAGTGGATGTAGTTATTATTTCGAGTTACAAATTTAACATTAAAATTGTCAAGAGCATATGAAAGGTTTTTTTTTTTTACTAAAAATGTGGGATTATACATTTCGGTAGTTCTTTATTATAAAAGGGTCGAACCGCTTTTGCTGTCAGTTTGTCCTGCCTTTTTTAAGGATCCTACTTCACTCGGTAAAACAACATAAATACAAAAAGGGTTTTCAAAACCCAGTTCTTTTTATTTACAAAGTGTTTTCTATCGATTTTACTCAATCTTTAGAAAATTGTAGCCATTACTTCTTTTATAAACCTTTAAATTTAGATCGAATAGTTTGCGCTGGCTTTCAGTCAGAATGCACCAAACGCGAGCTGCCTTGTTCAATAGATCAGGGGCCGGCAAATGAGAATTTTGTTTTTGAAACATGCGCATAAAATGAATATAGGCCGCCGCTGAACCCAAAGGACTTTTGTCGCGATTCTTCAGCACAGGACTGGCTTTCTTCTTGACCCTGCGCTTGATGGACTGGGACTTCTTCCTTTCCTTCTGGTTCTTGGACTCCCTCTCACGGGCATAAGGAGAGCGAACTGGACTGCGTTTCTCCCGCTCAGATTTACCGGGGTTTTCCCCATGGGACTGACTCTCAAACTCCTGAGGTGCACTCTTTATAACGGTCACTGGTTCTTTCTAACACACGTTTGTTAGCAATTGGTATATATTATTAAAAATTAAGATATATCCTACTTACCATATTTTTAAAGATATCCTTTTCTTGGGGGGTCAACTGATTCCATTGTATGGCCCCGAAACGTACCATGTCCCTTGGGGAAACTCCGCAGAACGCCTTTTTGTACTCCCTTAAGAAGTTAAGGTAGCCATTGTTTGTTATGCGCGCTACTTTTTGGAAATTGTAAATTGGTTTTCGAAGTGCCTTTCCACTTTTTTTTCCGTCCATAGTTTTTATTGTGTAAGACTACAATTTTGTTCCCCGTACACGACACTGTTTACACTTCTATACTGATGCGAATACTGGTTCTGATTGAGAACCTGTTCTCCCAGCTATCTGGATGTTTATTTTATTTACTTACAATTTTGAATGAAAAAATAAAGATTTAAAGATTTTTGATTCCATATATTAAAGAAATTTTCTATTACAGATCAATAAATTAAAAAGTTTTAAAAATTTGCAAATCGGAATAAGATTGGCCGAGTAATATACTGAAAAAGCGTCGGTTGGGGTCACCTTTCTGCGATTCATATCATATATATGGGCATCAAAATCTCATCTCCTCTCCCAATCACTTTTCTTTGCTGAGCTGAACACAAAAAGTATAAACTTTCCATCACTTGTTGCCAGTTCGTGATGGTGGCGAAAGTTTGCCCCTTGCCACCCCCATTTTCAGGGTGGTCGGTCTTTAGTGGGGAACCTAGACAATCGATATCCAGCACGGGGCATTGGGCATTGAAAATGCAGCAGACTTTTAGGCGCAGACATGTCTTATGTACTTGTCAGTCGTCAGCGAGACAGAGACGGGCATTTTCGAGCCGGGTTGGGAGAATTGTACAAGTTGTAACACAGCTACAAGTTCCGCACAACAGTTGCGCCCATCCTCGTCTTACTTTACTTTCGCTCTGGATTATTCTTCTTTCCGCCGTTGCCTTTTATTATTGTACATAATTTGCACGTGCTGCGAATATCTAAAATTTACGACCAGCATAGGAGAGACACCGAGAGCGAAAGTGCACAGGTTGGCTGTCTGCGGAGAAATCGGGGGATTTCGGATGGCTCTTGGTGGGGTGGGTGGAGTTACGAGTACTGGGGTGCGGTGTTGTCGTGTACATTATTTTGCTTTCAAGCGTTGAAATAAAAGGAAAAGTCGCCGAGCTTTAAATGAGTAACAGGGAACAGAGAGAGAAACAAATATTAAAAAAAGTCATATCATGTGGCTGCAGAAAGAAGTATTACTTTCAAAACGTTTTCAAATAAAATATTCCGAAAATTTAAAGATCTTTATTGTAGTATACTATTGATATAGATATTTTCTAGAATTAAATATATCTCAGGTTTGGTGATCTATGTAGTGACATGGCCACACTAGTTGTTGTGTAATTTAGTCAAGTTAGCATGGTCACACTGATTTCATTGGATAAAACATCTTAAAAGTGAAATAAATCCCCTCCAAATCTCACAAAATCTCCTTTCCTGCCATATTTTCTCTCCGTGCACCATCGTCCACTGGGTCGACCCCGACCCTTTTCCGCTGTCTCTAGGTGAGTGAAATCTTCCACAAGCTGCCCCTCGGGATCCCTTTGGCCTGTCTGTCTCTGTCCTTTTTCCCCACTCCCCCACTTTATTTCTAACTCAGTCTGTCTGCCTGGCTGACTGGCTTGCTTACTTTTACACGTTTTATGTCGAAAATAAATGTGAACTAATGCATTTTTATTAATATATACAAGCGTGCTGGGAATTCCAAGCTAGGAAATGATGTCGGCCGGGAATATATAACATAGACACACCACGCCCCCCGTGTGAAAGCAACCGCCCGCTGACGATGATTAAGCGTAAAAACCGCAAATGTTTTTTAAATGCAGTGCAAATGCTTGCGGGTCATGCCCGGTGCTCTGCTTTTTAGCTTCTTCCGGAGCAGATCGGATCGGATGGGAATGGTAGGGGGAGCGGGGTTTTGGAGGAGAGTTTCCTTTTTAGCCAGCTAAGTGAGTAGTTTGTTGAATCGTGTTGAAATATTTAGCACAACGCGTACGTGCCGACATTGTGTGGTCGCTCTCATCTCCAATTGGATTTCGGATTTACGGCAAACAAACTGTGGCGAAAAATTGGAAAATAAAACTGTGTCAAGAAACGTATCCCAATCCTCAATGCACGCATGTGTGGCTGTAAATGGATATTAAGACTTAGGGAGTGCGAAATGGCGACTACCCAGATTCGGAATCAAAACAAATACCTCCATTTCAAGTCCAGTCCAATGGTCGAAATCTTTATTTGAGTCAAATGAAAAACTAAACTTTAATACATCTCAGAGTTGTGCACAAAACGGAATGTTGGTCACACTGAGTTTTTGGCAATGCTTGACCAAGTGTGACCAAGTGCGCCAATAAAGCATACATAACTGAGACAGTTCTAAAATATAAATAAAATTGCTTCTAATATCAAATTAATGTAATGTAACGTAGGATTTTGTAAATTTGAAATCCCTAGACCTCCAGTAACAAATGGGCACTTATTTGAAGATCTTGGCGCCGTTATACAGGGGTTATCGCCCTTATACCAGCATTATTCACTTTATTTCAATGCGTCCACTGGCAAATGAAATGAAAAAGCCAACAAAGTTGCAATGAGGGGGGTGTTTCCCGAAGGGATGGGGACTCCGAGGTCGGACACTTTGCATACTAAGAAGTATACCAACGAGTGGGTGGAATAAATAGGAAAAGCAAATAGCGCGCCGCTCTATTGACATTTTAGGGTTTCATTGTAAAGCAATTTAAATTATTGTGTGTATTTTCTATTTCACTCAGCTTCTATTTATTTTCTTCGCCTTTACTTGGTCCTTTCCTTTTTCTTCTCCATATATATTATATATGTGTGGATGTATGGTACTTTTTCGGGGTAAGAAAAATTTTCAACTTAAGCATTCAGGACATCGTGTCCGCGACTTGTGTCCTGTTCTATTCTATTCTCTGGATCCTTTTGGCTGGATTTTATTTTGTGCAAATTTTTCAAATGTTATCCTTAATTTAGTTTATAAGTAGATGCCAGGCACGTTCCAGGCAAATGACATTTTATTTGTGGATTTTTATAGACTTTCCTTATGCGAACACTCGCTCATCCCCCAGAAACGCCCCACTTTTTTGTGCGTGGTAGCGGGAAAACCGAAAAATAGGTCGTAATTTGTGTATTTGTTGTGAGTTTCAATTTTTTTTGTTGGCTTGAAGGTCCGGAGCACATGTGTCTTTGATGAGGCAGGGAGGATGTGCGAGGCGATAAGATATGGGCGTGGTCATTGGCCCCTGTTTTGGGGGTGATAAGCTGTGGGTTCAAGTTGCACCATTCCCGTTCTTAAAAGTTATAAATTCTTTAGAAATATACACAAATTATCCGCACTACCTACTTTGACCTTTTTTATGCAACCATGGCCACATTGAGCCTTTGTCATTTTCGTAATAGCATATGGTCACACATGGTTTTTCACAAAGAATTTTATATTAATTTTCACCAGAATATCTGAGCTACACACCCAAATAAACTTAATGAAATGCAGAAGGACGAAGAATAAGAGCCATGGAAAGAAAATTCAACAATGGCGGAGCATTTTTGTGGGGTGCGGCTTGGGTTAGTTCAAGGTTTCAGGTGAAAGGTGTAAGGTGAAGGCTGACGTATGCCCCACTAAATTGCTCTTCTTTGCTTTCCTGCTATTCACACACTCGTACGGGTTGGAACATAAATTGCGCACAATAAAGCAAAAATTAAAAAGCGTAAACAGAAATTGCTTGCTTCCGCTCCCCCTCCAAAAAAAACCTTTCTTTTCACTTTTCCTTACATTTTCCTGGTGTTTTCAGTTTTCCCCTCCGCTTCAAGCTGTCAGAGGCGGGATTCCATTTTGACTGCTCCCCTGTCAGAAGGTGAAAACAATATGAAAGCTTAAAAAAGCATGGTATTTCCTTATGAAAACATTCCTCCCCTCGGGCAGAACAAAGTTTTCATTACTTGTATGTCCTAAATAATGCCTTAATTGCATTATAATCAAATGCTTTGACTTCTAATCTAAATTTATTTGATTTGTCTTTAATAAAATTCAACAAAATATATATATAAAGCACAAAACATACGTTCAATAAATATTAAATTAATTGTATTTCGGAGTAAACAAGAGTAGTAAAATGGAAAGAACTCCTGACTTCTGAACTTTTTGAATATTAAAGTTCTGCTGCCTTTTAAAAGGGAAAAAGCGGAAAAAATGGAAAAGTCAGAAAAGGAAATGGTGGGGATGAGGTCGTTTATTGGGGGGCGGTATACAATGGGCCAAAAAGAGGAGAGCAGGGAGATACGGATAGACACACACCTTTATTATTATTTTTACACTTAACTTCCGGTTTACGCCTATTACGCCACCCGTCGCCCCCGCCCAACAAAGGCAACCACCCTCTGGATTAAATTACAAAATACAACCCCTGCTCTCCCGAAGCTCCTTTCTCATCCTGAATGAAGTTATTGTCCCCTGACATTGTGTTGTAACTTTTCTTTCTTTTTTTTTTTTGCAGGACCGGTAGATCCTTTGTGCCACGCATTTTCACGTGTTCGTTCCGCATAGTTCCGTTTGATACGCCACAAAGGTGTCGCCGTGTCTGTGTGAGTTCCCCGGCGGAATCCGACTTGGGAGAGGATGTCCTTCGGTGGCAGGATGTAAGCGGAAGCCGCCGATTACGCACAAGGATGCAGCAGCACCGGCCCATCCACAAACCTGGATTTCAGGGACCCCGATATAAGCAGGTGAGGAAAAAGGTCCAGAAAGATATTATATAAGTAATTTGATTTTGATTTCTAGTCAAACAAACTCTGTATGAATATCCAAAAGTAACTTTAGGCAGTGAAAACATATTTCTTCCCCAGAATTATTAAGTATTATTTAAATTTACTGTTCTGATTTGTGGGATTATTTTACTCTGATCCATTTTTATATATTCCAACTGGTCTAGCTCCAATGCTTGATTGATTTTAGAACGCAAACATTTACAATAACTTTTTTGACTGCATAATTTTATCTTTTCCATCCGCCATATATTCATAACCGATTTGCTACCTTTTTAACTTCTAAAAGAAGAAGCCATATCGAATTATAACCAGTCTACCGTTGAGGACAAGCTACAGCTCTGGAAATGGGATACATCCGATACAAAGTCAAGGCCTTTCACGGCGCTTAACTAAGCGTCAGGTTCGTTTTTGATTTTCCTCTTTTTTTTTTGGGGCATCCGGTGTTTTTAGACTAGACGATGTGGGTTGGGTTTTTGGGGGTTGG